GAAGCCCTAATCACCACATGAACACATGGAGATTAAACAACACACTCCTAAATGATGAATGGGTCAAAAGAGAAGTTAAGAGAGAAATAGAAGTATTCATGGAACTAAATGAAAAGGACAATACAACACAACAAAACCTCTGGGACACTGAAAGCTTTCCTTAAAGGGAACTTTATAGCTCTAAGTGCCTACATCAAAAAATCAGAAAGAACACAAATAAATGACTTAACACTACAACTCAAGACACTTGAAAAACAACAACAAACAACCCAAACCCAGCAGACAAGAAGAAATAACAAAAATCAGGGCAGAAATTAATGAAATTGAAACAAAAATAAAAAACAGTATAAAGAATCAACTAATCCAAGAGCTGGTTCTTTGAAAAAATAAACAAGATTGACAGACCGCTAGCCCAGTTAACCAAAAGAAAGAGCACCTCCAAATCAACAAAATCAGAGAAGAAAGGGGAAACATCACAACAGACACCAGAAAGATACAGAACATTATAAGGGAATACTTTAAAAACCTATATGCTACTAACTTTGAAAACCTAAAAGAAATGGACAGATATCTAAAGGCATGGGAACCACCAAAACTAAACCAAGAAGAGATTAACAGCTTAAACAGACCCATAACACAAAAAGAAATTGAAACTAATATAAAACCTCCCAATTAAAAATTTCCCAGGACCAGATGGATTTACAGCAGAATTCTATCAGACATTTAAAGAAGATCTGCATCCAATACTACTTAATTTATTCAAAAAGATAGAAATTGAGGGAGAACTTCTGAAAAATTCCTTCTATGAAGCCAGCATCACTCTAATGTCAAAGCCAGGTAAAGATACAACCAAAAAAGAAAACTATAGACCTATATCCTTAATGAACATAGATGCAAAAATCCTCAACAAGATACTTGCAAATGGCATACTGATGCACATCAAAAAGGTCATCCACCATGATCAAGTTGGCTTTATCCCAGAGATACAGGGATGGATCTCTGTGAGTTCAAGACCAGCCTGGTCTACATAGCGAGTTCCAGGACAGCTGGGGCTACAGGGTGACCCTGTCTCAAAAAGACCAAAAAATAAATAAATAAAAAAGATTTTGCATATGAAACAGTATATTTTAAAATGAAATGGAGATCTTTCTTAAAGGTTAAAACCTTATTTAATTTTATGTTTTATAGAGTTTATACTGAGTTCAATATTGTATAACTGTATTAATGCAACTGTGAACCTATAAATTTACAGCCACTTTTGAAAGAGATGCATCTTTGCTCTGGAAATTGTTATTGTATATGTTAAGCTGTAATGAAATGCTTCTAATCATGTCGTTATTAAATAAATAATTTTTTAAAATTGTACTCTACAATGAGCTAGAAAGAAGTATCCAAGAAAACATTTCTTCTTTTAAAGATTTATTTATTTTTACGTAAGTGTGTGTGCCTACAACACTTATGTGCACCACATGCCTGTGCAAGGTCAGAGGGCATGGGATCCCCTGGACTGGAGGTACAGGCAGTTGTGAACCACTATGTCAATGTTGAGAACCAAATCTGGATCCTCTGCAAGAACAGTAAATGTTCTTAACTGCTGAGGTGTCTCCCCAGTCCCCTAAAGAAAACATTTCTTGTTCTTTGATAGTAAACCTTACAATTTAAATTCTCTCTAGAACTCCCCATAAATTAAATATGACTTTATAAAGTAATGTAACATTTTTTATGGGAGATGAATTAGCTGGTAAAAATGATTATGAAGTTCACATGGAAAATTAACCTGAAATTATCTGGGACAGGTCTAAAAATTCATATTTGTAAATGGAGAACATGTCTAGTAGCTATTAAGAAATATTATAGAATTCATCTATGCAAAGTATAGAATAAATCCTGCAAGTTCGTGCACTGAGGATACATGATGCTCAGGTCTGAAGAGACAGATCATAATGTGCTCACCATAACAAGTGTGAGGACCTGAGCTCAGAGCCCCAGTATACACAGGTAGTGGGGTGCAGCAGCACACATCTGTAACCCCCGTGCTAAGCAGATGGACAGCATCTATAACCCCAACAGGGTGGGGAAAGGAGACAAGCAGATCTCTGGAACTCAGTGAGCAGTCCCCCTACCCAAATCGAGAAGCTCTGGTTCCATGAGATCCTATCTCCTTGTTGACCTCCAGATACTCCTCCTTGACCTCCAGCCACCACATGCTGGTATATATGAACACAGCCACACAGACATGTATGTACAACACACACACAAATACATGATGCTCAAAACCAAGCATTTGAGGCTGGATCATTTGTAAAAATAATCAATTAGCACTTACTTCTTGAGTAGATGAAATGTGTGCTTTAGAATCAATTTTAATTGGAGCTGGAGAGATGGCTCAGGTTAAAAGTGTGTGCTTTACCATCTGTGGTATATACAATCTTTATATAAACCAACTCTTTTCCTAGCACTCATGGTGGGCAGCTTACAAGTGCCTCTAGCTCCAGCTCCGGAGTATCTAACACCCTCTTCTGGCCTCTGCAGATATACACAGAGACATGCACACACATACACATAATTAAAAATAAAAATAAGTCTTTAAGACTCTGGAGAGATGGCTCAGCGATTAAGAGCACTGGCTGCTCTTGCAGAGGACCCAGGTTCAATTCCCAGCACCCACGTGGTGGCTAACAGCCATCCATAACGCCAGTTCCAAGGGACTCCAACACCCTCTTTTGACCTCCATGGGCATTGCACAACACAGGTGTATTTACATACATGCAGGCAGTACACTCATACACATAAAAATAATAAAATATAAAAAAGTAAATCTTTAAGAAGAAATCAATGTAAGGGTAAGCAAAACAAAATAATTTCTATTAATATCCCATGTGTAAGAAATGAAAAGACAAGAAGAGTCTGAAGACAAGTGGGACCAGCCAGACTTCATGGGCCACTGAAGATGCCCCAGCCACTTTACTTCAGAGTGCATTCATTGACGGTCACGTACTTCTTTGTGACATGAGAGTGAGCAATAATATTAATAACATAGAAAACAATTCAGAGAAAAAATCTAAGCTTCATGAGCTTGGTTTTGTTGCAGTGAACTAATTCAGTTGATTTCTCTTCTTTGTAGTCTGCTCAAACGAATGGCTGTGAAGGAAAAGGCAGCAGTGAAAGGTAGGAAAGTCACTGCCCAAGTGACCAGAACACTTTCGTTCATTTTATTTTTGTTTTTTTTTTTGTTTTTTGTTTGTTTGTTTTTGTCTTTTTGAGACTGGGTCTCCCTGTAGCCCCAGCTGTCCTGGAACTCACTATGTAGACCAGGGTGGCCTCAAATTCACAAAGATCCGCCTGCCTCTGCCTCCCAACTGCTGGGATTAAAGGAGTGCGCCGCCACGCCCCACCTCATTCTTTTTATTTTAATGACACAAAGATTTCCTGTTGTTTGCCAGTAAAAATATTGATTAGATTTTGGAACTATGGTTTAAAATATATACTGAGACAGGGTCTCACTACGTAGCTCTGGCTGGCCTGGAACTTGGCTGTATAGACCAGGCTGGGCTTGAACTCACAGAGATCCACCTGCTTCTTTAATCCCTCCCAAGTACTAGGTTGGCATGTACCACCAAACCTGGCATGAATATTGTTTTTAAAATATTTGTTATCAGAAGGTTCTCTTAACATAAGAAATATGTTTATTATATACCCATCGCTCAAAAAACAAATGTCTTAGTCCTGGTTGAAATATAAATGAGTCTTTTTAAAATGTGCCAGAAATTATAAGTCTTCTGCTAGGACTCTGGGTGATTTTTCTGCTCTATTTCTCTGTACTTTCAACTTTTAAATTTTTCATTAATAAGAAAATGAAACCAAAGATGACAAGATGGCTCACAGGATAAAGCCACTTGCTGCCAAACCTGATGAACTGAGTTTAGTCCCGGGACCCACAGGGTGGAAGAAGAGAATCAACTCCTACACATTGTCCCAGGACCTCCACTTGTGCATCAAAGCATGTGTGCAAGCACACACTACAGTAATTAATCAGTTAAATATAGTTTTTTTAATTTTAAAGAAAAAGAAAATGAAACCAAGAAGTTAGGAAAGTCTTTAAAATCCCACAAAAAAATTTCTCTTTGAAAAGTTTCTAACATAAATAAGACTTTTTATAATATTATATGTCAGAGAAGGTTTTACTAACAAAATATTTAAGTATAAATTTTTTTCATATTGGATAATAATCAGACAAAGGAGGTATTTGCATTTTCCTAGAAAGGCAAATTGACATTAACATGTTCACTAAACTAGAAATGGAAGTATGTACTATGAATAAAGTGATGAAGGGCTGGGGAGATGGCTCACTAATCAAGAATACTTGCCACTCTTCCAAAGGATCTAAGACTGGTTCCCAGCACCACATCAGGCATTTTACAGCCATCTGTAACTCAAGCTGTAGGGGCTCTAACACCCTCCTCTGGCTTCCATGGGCACACACTCAGACACATAGATAAAAATAAAATCTATTTAAAAAATAATAATAATAAGTGAAACGCCGGCCGTGGAGGTGTGTTCCTTTAATCTCAGCCTTCGGGAGGCAGAAGCAGTGGATCGAGGCTGCTCTGGTTCACATTGTGACTTCCAGAAGGGCTATGGAAACTGCCAGAAAACACACACACACACACACACACACACACACACACACACACAAAGTAAAGAAATAGCAAGTTTTCTACCTAATAATCAGTGACATTCTAAAAGGAAAGTGTCATTTGCTTTATTTTTGTCAGGTGAAGAAAGGAAAAAGAAAGCTAAATTAATGTGATCTCTTGGGAAGACAATTAATTGGGAAGTAATTTTAAAATATAATTTTTGATCATTACTAATTTTTAATGTCACTAAAACCATGAAGGGCTTTACAGTTGTAATTAATATTGTTCCTTTCTTAAAGCACACAAAATTATAGTGTCTTACAAAAATGGAAGGTGGAGATTAAAGAAATATACTATACTTTCACCATAGCTACTGAATTTCAAAGAAATGTACTATACCTTCACCATAGCTACTGAATTTCAAAGAAATTTTTCCAGCCCCTATGCATGCAAGGACATTTCTACAAGAAAATATTCTTATAGAATTTTAATTATGGTAAATAATTACAACATTGTTTACAATAGAAAACCATCATAAGAGAAACCAATAACAAGAAGCTGTGTAAAAGAATAACAAAAAAGGAGTGACTGATGGGAGGATCTCCAAATACGCTGTTGTAGACACAAGGTCCATGTACTAGGAACCAAAATCAACTAGCTCCAGGTTGGACACATGCCTGCATACATACATACATACATACATACATACATACATACATACATAAAAGTGAACCTCATGGATGCAGACCTTGCAAATGAAGTGTGAATTACAACCCACAATAAGTTGGTACAGAAAAAAATATCCACCGTAAATCCAACATAACTACTGCCCTGTTATTGACATTTTAAGAGCATTAGTCTGTGTCTTGCTTTAATGATGTGTACTGGTATCCTCAAACAGAGTACTCTGCTTAGTTCTCCTGACCGTCAGAAAGTGAAAAATAAAGATTTCACATCATCTTGTTCATCTCACTATCCCTAAATGCTGTTTTTCTACCTCGTTTCTTTTTTCTAATTACCTACCTCACCAAGGATGATATGTTGGTCAGCTTTCCATTGCTACAACAAAAAACCCAAAATGGAGGGGGGAAGGCTCATTTGGGAGTCACAGTTTCACAGATCTTGGCTGACATTGTATGGCCCCATTATCTCAATCTGTGTGGCAAGGAAGATCACTGTGGTACACAGGTGTATGGTGGAGCAAAGCTGCTCAGCCCACAGTGGCCAGGAAGCAAAGAGACAGAGGAGGGGCTGAAATCCCAACACCCCTTCAAGAGCACAGTCCCAGCAACCTCACTTTCTTCTACCAAATCCTGGCTCTTAAAGGTCCCACCAGCTCCCAGTAGCACCATCAGCTGGGGAACAAGTCTTTTAGTACATGGGACTTTGAGGGTACATGTAAGATCCAAGTCATGGCAAATGGCATCTTCTGTGTTCACCCAAAATAATGAGAACTTGTGCTGAGGTTCACTACATTAAGTGAGGCCAAGGCAATCCTAGACCACAGTTGTAGCAAAAGATTATGTCCTTTGGGGGAGACACAAATTAAACTCTGTAGTCCTTAATATGTACATATAATGGAGTACATTAAACTGGGCAGAGGATAGTAAGGGGAGATATGGATAGAGGAGGGGATCTAAATATGATTAAAATATATTGTATGAAAATCACGAAAATTCAATTTTAAAAAATTTTTAATTATGTCCTTCAATAGGGACTTCTTTAAATAATGTAAGAAAAATTCACATGATGCAATAGAGGAAGCTGCTATAAAAGGAGAGGGAGGAGTGGAACGATGGTTCAGTCAGGAAAGCGCTTTCTTTACAAGGACAAGGACCTGAGTTTGATTCCCAGAACCCACATCAAAGAAAAAGGCAGGTGTGATAGTGTGTTAAAGTTTACAGTCCTGGCACTGGGGCAATGGAAGAGTCCCTGGGACTTACTGGCCTGCCAGCCTAGCTTATCTGGCAAGTTCCAAGCTCTTGAGATACCCTGTTTAAAAAAAAAAAAAAAAAAGTGGACAGCACCTTAGAAATAACACTCAAAGTTGTCTTCTGCATGCACCCCCTCCCCGCCAGGCACACACAGTTACAGTTACACACCTGCATACACATGATGTTGCACACACACACACACAAAAAGGTTATGGGCTAGAGAGATGGCTCAGTGGTTAAGAACACTGGCTGCTCTTGCAGAGGACCTGGGTAGATTCCCAGCACCCAGTTGACAACTAACAGCCATCCATAACTCCAGTTCCAGAAGATGCAATGCCCTCCTTTGACCTCTGCAGGCATTGCACAACAGAGGTGTACTTACAACACATGCTGGCAATATACTCATACATATAAAATAAAAATAATGAATAAAATAAAAAGAAGGCATTATGCACTGATAAAATTGTAATAAGGTGTCCACCTTGAAGGGCAGAAGTAAAACCATCACTTTCTCCATCCCCAAAGAACTCTTTCAGTCTCGGAGTCAAAGACTTGGGGTCTCTTTGCAAATAAAATCATATTAAGCTATTGTGCACTTCAGTCATTTAACATCTAACAATAAATTTCAAGAATTGGGGACTGGGGAACGTTAGGATTTTGAGGGTTTTGTTGTTTATTTTTTGTTTGTGCTTTAGACAAGGTCTTGCTGTGTTGCCCAGTCTAGTCCCCAACTCAAGTGATCCTCCTGCCTCAGCCTCTAGAGAGCTGGCAGTACAGGCATGTGTCAACATGCCCAGCTTGAATTCTATTTTTTAAAACAGAAAATATATTTTAATTTTTTTATTTATTGTGTCTGTATATATGGAGAAGGGGCACACATGCCATAGCACACATGTGGAGGTCAGAGACAGCTTGCGGAAGATAGCTCCTTCCACCGTCTAAGTCACAGGGATGGAACTCAGGTCATGAGGCTTGACAGCAAGCACCTTTACCCACTGAGCCATCTCACCAACCCAATAAATGTATTTTTTTAATTATGTAAATATGCTAGAGGAAAACAAGTGGCTTGAAACATGATATGTAAATTTATTTTGGAGACAAATATAAAATATCCCAAATGTGTTTGTTCACATAGCTTAACTCAGATGTCACAAGAAACGAAGTATGAAGTGGAAGACAAAATAACATGGGGAAGCAGTGAATTGCCAGGAGAAACAGCAAACTATGAAGATTCTGACAAAGGCAAGAATTTTATTACCAGTTTTTTTCATTAAATACATTGAGGCTTTTAAATGACGATTTCACACTACGTGGATTTTAAGTGACCATATGAAGTTAAATCACTTAAACAAACAACTCGTTACATAACCAAATTATTTGCATCATTGCAGCCTGAAGTTCCTGGTTTTGCTATTGCACAGTGAGAAATCAAAAAGCTCATTGTTTACACTAAAATTAGTGGGGCAGTTGAAAGGTGGGAAAGATTACCCTTGACTTCCAACCTTTTAAGAATGAGTCTCTGAGCCAGGCATGGTGGCACATGCCTTTAATTCCAGAGCTTGGGAGGCAGAGGCAGACAGATCTCTGTAAGTTTGAGGCCAGCCAAGGCTATAGTGAGACCATGTCTCTTTTTTAAAAAAGTTTCTGTTGCTGTGTTTTCAGACTACCATTTTACTTTACAACGGTGGAGAGGTAGCATCCCATCTAGTGCCTCACTTCTGTTTCATATTTTATATGTTGTATTAATGTCATGAAAGGTGGAGCTCTGTCATTTAAAGTCTTCTCATTTTAATGACATTAATCCTTTTCTGCTTGGGCAGACTGTTAGGTACACAGTGCTCCCATGGACTGCTGCAGCCCACACTCAACCCAGCCTGAGTGCCCCTGCTGCAGTCACACTCTATTTCAAAAACCCTTACAGTTATTTCACATGAACAGATTGTGTATCTCAACTAACCCTGGCCCAGCCCAACGTTGAGCTTCATGAGCGATCTTGACAAGTCTGTATCCCTCATTGCCACCTGCTCATTAGTTGTACCATACTCAAATCAGTTGACAAGTTGGTTAAAACTACACTTGCACAGACTATAGCATGAAGTCTCTCTTACTTTTGTCTAGATAGTAATTTCTGTCTATTATAGAAAATCCATACAACAGGTACTAAATTAGACCTGTGACTCTTTAGAGATACTTGTTTAACTCAATTCCTGAAGAACCCAAGGGAATTCTTCTACATGGAGAATGATGTCAAATGCCAGGACATCAGCACTGAGTGCCGAGGGTGGGTGGTCAAGTGTGAAATCAGTGGTCCTAGAGCAGTCTTCCACTGTGTGGAATTTCTGAAGTGTCTGTCTACATCTTTCCCATATGCTTAGGATCTACTGCAGAGTAATAGGAGACCTAGATAGATTTCTTTCCTTACACAGATGGTGCCATTAAAGTCAAAAGAAGCAAAAAGAACACAAAAATACAAATAGCTGAGAGTCACAAGTCTTTCAAACTTATGAGCAGTGGTGTGGTGTCTCCTTCAAGGCTGGGTGAAGAGCCATGCACTGGCAAAGGCTGCTTGTGTATGGCCTGGCATCAGCCAGTCAACCGTGCTGTCCTGAAAATTCTTTCCTATTTAAAGAAGTATGTGTGGGAATAGGTTCAAGTGAGCTCACATACTCCTTACATCAGCTCTGGGGAAAACTGAAAGCATCTGCTCCCTTCCTGTTAGATCACCTCTTTCTGACCACTGAGGAGCTGGCTGCCCTCCCAGTAGTCAGAGTTCCTCCCTCTGGCAAGTACACTGGCACCAAGTTAAAATCTATCATCCGCATGCTGCGAGGTTTGCTTGACCAAGGAATCCCTTCTAAGGAGCTGGAGGTAAGTGGCATCTACATTGTTTGTATGGAAAATGTATTCTTGATAGGCCAGGTTTAGGTGATATTTTGAAATCTTTGAAAATACCTATTACTTTCCAACTGTGTATTACTCAGGGTTCTCTAAAGGAGAAGAGCCAGTAGAATGAACATATATGTGTGTATATGTGTGTGTGTGTGTGTGTGTGTGTGTGTGTGTGTGTGTATGGATTTGTTAGATTGGCTCACAGGATAGAGTCCGAGTAGTCAAACAACGGCTGTGCCATACTGGGGAGACTGAGAATCCGGTAGTTGCTCAGTCGATGCCTCAGCTGTCCCAATCTGGCACTGAAGGCCTGACGGATTCCAGATCTGTTACTCTTCAGTCTGCATTGGAATCTGAAGAAGTTGGTCACAGCAGCAAGACGATCTCACCAGTGAGAGAAAAGACAAGGGGCAAAAAAGCAAGAGCTCCCTTCTGCCATGGCCTTCTATATGAGCTGTCACCAGAAGGTCACGCCCACATTTTGGGTGGGTCTTCCAGCTTCAGATGATCCAATCAAGAAGGTCTCTTTCATTTCAGTTAATCCCAAATCCAGTCAAGTTGACACTCAGGATTAGCCACTCCTATGTAGCTAGCTTATTTCCAACTATAAATCACCATCTTCTATCTAACAATAAAGTAATTTTTCCAACAAGGCTCTTAATGACATTGATTTAACAAAATCATATTAACTACTCAGAACTTAATAAATTCCTCGGACGATATACTCCCTGCCTCATATGTAAGAATAAAAATGGTTTAAAAATAAAAAAAGATCTGGACATGATGGGACATGTCTGTAACCCAGAACCAGGAAAGTGAAGGCAGAAGGATCAGGAGTTTTCAAAAGTCATCCTGAGGAAGGAAGGAAAGAAGGAAGGGGGAGGGAGGGAGGAAGGAAGGAAGGAAGGAAGGAAGGAAGGAAGGAAGGAAGGAAGGAAGGAAGGAAGGAAGGAAGGAAGGAAGGAAATTTTAAAGCCAGGTATCAGTCCAACTATCCACTAAGCTTCTGTGGTAGGATGGGTTGTCATGACAGCTGCTATAGACACAGTCGCCCTGGAATATACATGCCAGCTTGAAGCTACAATGGTTCAGAGCCCTTGCTCCTCAGTCTGATGGCAAAAGAAACATAGCCCTACTCGGCTTTGTGGGTAACTTTGCTCCTATCCCTCAAACATTTGCTCCCTTCCTGAGCTTTGATGCCATTAAAAGGAGCTAGCTCTCACTGAGAGCTTGTGTCTGTGTGCTCGCTACTATTTATGTGTTCCTAACAGCACTTAATCCACTGATGCACTCAGTGTAGTCTTCCTTTCCCTAAATCTTTTTCCAAAAACAGTGTCTTCTTTAAGGCCTGGTGTTTAAATGTCACTATCAGAGAACCTTGTTCACCTTCTCTCTAAAGTAGACCTTTATTTTCCTCTACCCCAGCAGCTCACTAATTTCTTTAAAACATATATCACCATATTTACTTATTTCCTCATTGCCTCTCCCAGGAGCTGTCTACTCCCTGAGATCCAGAACTTTCTTTTTGCTCACTACTGTGCTCCCTGCACTTATTACAGCCTTGCATATATATAAAATAAGTATTCAACGTATCTTTGCTGTGTGAAGGAATGAATGAAAGTCAGAAAGAATTGACTACCACAGCGTACTGTCTGACCGTTGCAATACCACACAACCAATACTGTTGAGAAAATACTGCAGATGATTACTTCAGTGCAAATTTGTTTTTATATAAGTTATATTTCTTAGAAATATAGACATATTTAAGCTGAAATTAAAACAGGGCACAAAGTGCTGTCTAATAATCTAGTTGCAACATGTCTGTTAAAGTGCTGTAGTCATATGATTCTGCACTGGTAACAAACCAGTACTGACTAGGTTTATGTGAAAAACATCTTTGGCACTTGTCATCCCTACTCAGCCAGTATTTCACCCAGCACATTAAAAGTTTTTTTCACTAAGGCCTTAAATTCTAGCACTTGGGAGTCAGAGGCAGGCAGATCTCTGAGTTCGAGGCCAGCCTGGTCTACATAGCAAGTTCCAAGCCAGCTGGGGCTATAGGCAGACCCTGTCTCAAAAAAAAAAAAAAAAAAAAAAAAAAAAAAAAAAAAAAAAAAATTTCACTAAAAAAATTATCGTTTTTCCCCACCTCATAAAAAAAAAAAAAAAAAAAAAAAAAAAAGCAAACAAACCAAAATAATTTCACTGATGAAATTATCGCTTTTCTCAACCTCATGCTAACCATATGTTCATTTTGTTGCTTGTAGAATCTTCAAGAATTAAAACCTTTGGATCAGTGTCTAATTGGACAGACTAAGGAAAACCGAAAGAAGAACAGATACAAAAATATTCTTCCTTGTAAGTTCCAGTGTGTTTTAAATTGAATGTGTATGCAATATAATTTGAACTGATTTAAAATTCTTCTGTTAGCCTAACCTATCTTATTTCACATGTGGATATGAGTAGCACACATAAAGAAATTTTCATTGGTAACATCTAAATTTAGATATACAGTGCAAACGCTCTTTTAAATTATCCATGTATTCTGAAACTCAGGTACAACAATCTTAAATATTTAAGATAGTCTTGAATTTCTAAAAACTATTATTACAATAATCAGTGATGTCTAATCAGTAATTCTAAAATCTTTTTTAAAATATGAATTAGCAAAGCTGGGGAGTTAGCTTCATTGGTAAAGTTCTTAGTGATAGGTCCTTGGAGCCTGTTGGCCAGCTAGCCTAGCCTAATTCAAAAGCCACAGGTTCCAGTGAGAGATCCTGTCTCAAAAAAACAAAGTGAATGGCACCTGAGGAATGACACATGAGGTTGACTCTAAAAACACGTGCACCCTTGTACAGTGAACACGTGCACACACTTGAGCATACACATACACACACACATACACTATATATATATATATATATATATATATACCTACTTATTTTTTAACATTTTATGTATTATTTTTAATTTTATTTTATGTATATGAGTGTATTGCCTGCATGTATGTAAGTGTACCCATGTCATGCAATGCCTGGGGAGGTCAGAAGAAGGTGTCGGATCTCCTGGAACTGGAGTTATGGACAGTTGTTAGCCACCATATGGGTGCTGGGAACTGAACCCAAGTCCTCTGTACGAGCAGCCAGTGCTCTTAACCACTGAGCCATCTCTACAGCCGCTATTCCACTTATTCTGAGTTACAGAAATGTATATCGTAATGAGTAGCTAGTACACGCCATGTCTAGGGGTACTACCAGCCTACAGTAGCCTTTAAGTCATTTCAGATTCTAGAAGGAAGTAAGACCCATATTTTCAACCCATGCTTTACCAAACAATGTGATTATTTTAAACTATTTATGAGTATATATTACAAAATTTTAACTGTAGCAGCTTTTTTTTGTTTGTTTGTTTGTTTTGGGTTTTTTTTGAGACAGGGTCTCCCTGTACCCCAGCTGTCCTGGAACTCACTATGTAGACCAGGCTGGCCTTGAACTCACAAAAATCCGCCTGCCTCTGCTTCCCAAGTGCTAGGATTAAAGGCATGTGCCACCATGCCCAGCATTGTAGCAGCTTTTTATAATGTGATCAACCATACTTACATATTAATACTTTAGATTAAACATGTCACACAGATCCAGTCATCATTGGAGCCCAGCGGTGACAGATCATGTAATAGTCCAATCAAGATGAAAGACACGAAATTCATTTTGGAAAATTTCCTGTCGGAAGTCAGTCTAAGAAAGTATTTTTAAAGTGGAATAGAGCATAGTTCAGCATGAAGTAGATGGCAGTTGTATATGGCCAAAAAGTGTCCAGAGTTGTATCTTGAAGTCAGAATGGGACAAGCTATGATTACAGAATTAATGAATGTGTTTTCTGTCAGAAAACAATGAACTGAGATAAAAGTCAAGCAATAAGGGACTGGAGAGATGGCTCAAGAGTTAAAAGCACTAACTGCTCTTGCAGAGGACCCAGGTTTGATTCCCAGTACCCACATGGCAGCCTACAATTGCCCTAACTCCAGTCCAGGAGTTCCAGCACCCTCTTCTGACCTCCACAGGCACAGGTGCACTTACATATATGCAGGCAATACACTCACACACATAAAATAAAAATAATAAATAAAACATTTTTTAAAATGTCAAGCAATAAAAGACAACTGATAGATGATTTTGAAACCTATTGCTTAAATATTTTTACCTTGATAATTACAAATTATAAGTTAAATTTATACATTTAAAATAAAAATGGAACCACTGAGATGACTGAACAGGTACAGTGCTTACCACCAAACCTGAGTTTGACACCCAGAAGCCACACTGTGGAAAGAGAAAACTGACTCTGCCAAGTTGTCCTCTGACCTCCACACATGTGCTGTGGTGCATTCACCCACCACACACACACACACACACACACACACACACACACACACACATAATTTTTAAAATGAAATAAAATAAAAAATGATTTCTAATGTATACATACATGCAAATTTCTCTCTTATAAACTACTGGCTACATAATCTCAGTTTTAAAAGAGCTTTTCCTTCTTGAGACAAAGTCTCACTCCATAGCTCAGGCTGTCCAGGAACTTGGAGCTCACCTTATAGGCCAGGCTGGCCTTGAACCTGTGGCAGTACTCTTCCTCATGCCTCAGCCTCTGCAATGCTAGGATTACAGATATGAGCCATGCACTCAGGTTTATACATGCTTTTCATTGGGGCATCTTGGTTTTAGCAATTACATTTTAGCTATGTAAAGATACAATTAGACAAAAGAAAAGCTTTCATGCAAGTAAGGTATGCTTTTGTTTATTGTATTTATTTATTGTATTAACTTATTGCTTGGGTTGCAACTTAATTAGGGGCTTAAGCATTAGTGATGCAGTAAATACTTTGATAGTGTTGTATGAAGGTGTTTAGCCTATCATTCACAACTGTCTTTACTAGTTTTGAAATGTTGGTAGAGAAGTAACAAAGTCGTTTTGTTTGCTTGTCTAATTACTTAGTATGAAGTTCTAAATGGCATTTGTTAATTCTCATTTCTTCTACCAAATCTTTATCAAATTAGTAGTATATATTTAATCAATATTAATAAACCCCAGATTTCATACATACCTCCCAAGCTGATATCTTAGATATATTGTAACAAACAAAAAAAAAACATAAAATTGTGTTATGCCACCATTCGAAAGTATACTTCTATTAAAGCAAAGTTGGCAATTTCATGAGGGGTTACATGAGTCTTTTGACTCTGGTCACTTGTGACTCATGGTTACAATGCATGATCATGACATGGACAGTTTTGTGGTGGGACTTCACAGATGACACCACAAGAGTGCCTCTTGGAGATGAAGGAGGATACATCAATGCCAGCTTCATCCGGATCCCAGTGGGAACAGAAGAGTTTGTCTACATTGCCTGCCAGGGGCCTCTGCCCACCACTGTAGGGGATTTCTGGCAGATGGTTTGGGAGCAGAACTCCACAGTGATAGCCATGATGACACAAGAAGTAGAAGGAGAAAAAATCAAGTGCCAGCGCTACTGGCCAAATGTCCTCGGCAAAACAACCATGGCTAACGACAGACTGCGCCTGGCCCTGGTGAAAATGCAACAACTGAAGGGCTTTGTCATGAGGGTGATGACCTTGGAGGATATTCAGGTAAGGGATCTTTCCTTTTGGTGAGGCTTAGATACACCTCATTTCCTCATTGGAAACCAGGCTGGCCCATTTCTGTGACTGTACCAGTGTGCTTCCAGAAAAGACTTCTGGTTCTTGTTGCAATGGAAAGATTTTATCTACTATGATTTCATTTTATTTTTTTGAGGCAAGGTCTCATGTAGCCCAGGCTGGCCTCATACTACGCAGCTACTACCAACAATGACCTCGATCCTCCTGCTGTCACTTCCTGAGTGCTAGGGTCATCCGGTAGTATCTAGTATAATTTTAAATGTTTCCTCCAGTAGATACTGTATTTAAATGAAAATATGGGTCTTTTAGTGTTGCTATCCTTTATTTATGGATAAAGAGTACAAAAATGGCTCAGAAGCTATAACAGGCATAGAAAATTATTTTTTAAGGTCAAATGTCTAAATAGATTCATTCAAACTACTTTTAAAAATCTATGAGTACTGACTGGGTATAATGGTGAATGTCTTTAATCCCAGCACTTGGGAGGTAAAAGCAGGTGGATCTCTGTGATTTCAAGCCCAGTCTGGTCTACACAGTGAGTTCCAGGCCAGCTGGAGCTACAGGGAGACCCTGTCTCAAAAAAAAAAAAAATCTGTGAGGACCAAACAGGCCTCATAAAGGCAACTACCATATTTAGGAATGCATGGACAATTGCAGCATAAATTGTTGTCATTTAGATACTTCTAACTACAGTTGTCTAACACTGGGTAAATGCAGTGTGAATTAGCTAAATGGCCATACCTCAAGCAAAGACTCTCTGGTTCCTCAGCTCTGCTCTCAGTCACCTGCCTCACTCTTCCACCAGAAATATGAACTATAATGAACAATGTTCCCTCTGAAGGTTTAACTTTGTTCAACTTTTTCTTTTATGTATATACGTGTCTGTATATGTGTACATATGTGTGCAGGTTCACATATGTGCAAGTACATGTCTAGGCCAGAGATTGATGTTGGTGCCTTCATCTGTGATTCACTACTGTATTTCTTGAGAAAAGATCTGTCAAAGAACTTTGAGCTCATTGATTGAACTAGACTGACTGGTCAAGAAGCCCCAGAGATCCTCCTGTCTTCATCCCCCAGCACTGGGATTACAGGGTGGGTGTTGCTGTGCCTAGCTTTTTCTGGGGGTCCTGGGGCTCCAAACTCAGGTCCTCATGCTTATGTGGCAAGCACTTTACCCACTGAGCCTTGTCCAAAGCCCCTTTCTTAAGTTTTTCTAGAAAAGAAGCATGTTGATCCACTTCTGTTGGCATCATGGAAATGTTGCCGGAGAGCGTCCTCTGTGATTTGTTATTTTACAAAGAATTCAAGGTTAGAAAGTTTTTTCAAACCTTAACTTTTTAAAATTGACACATAAAAATTATATATATATATGTGTATGTATATATATATATATTACACACACACAAAGATATATATTCCTAGGTACCAGGTGGTACTTGCTACACTTCTACCAATTAATGCACTCAAATGGGCTTACTGTGGCTCAAGCAAGCTCAGTTGTTCAGCATTCCTCACTTGATTTTGCCATGTAATACACACATGGTAATAGAACTCAAGCCCTGGACTACACCAGGGACTCATTTAACAAGAGACAAAAAGCCATTCCACACCTTCTAGAGCTTATTTCCTAATAAGGAGATATTTGTGCTAACAGTGTGGTAGGAAAATAGAGTGGCTGATGGAAAGTGCAAAGTAGGCCCTAAGTTTCAATAGTGAGTCAGGGAGACTCGAGAAGGCTGCATTGCAGAAAAACTGAAGGTGTTAATATGAGGAAGAGGCAATCCTAGTCAGAAAGAAAATATAAAGGTCCTGAGACAAGGCCTGAGTAAGACCCAGTGCTAGAACTGTTCCCTAGTATGCCCAAGGGTCTGAGTTCCACCCCTAGCCACAGCTATGATGATGACCACACGACAGCGATGACAATGATGATGTTTTGAAGCTAGCAAACTTCTTGATGAGGCTTTGCATGTTTTTCTTTTCTTGCTTTTCTTTTCTTTTTCTTTTTGAAACAGAGTCTCCCTGTAGCCCCAGCTGGCTTGGAACTCACTATGTAGACCAGGCTGGCCTCAATCTGCCAGCCTCTGCCTCCAGTGCTGGAATTAAAGGCATACGTACACCATGACATTAGGTGTACACTATCACGTATGATGTATTGACGGAGTCTTTTCATCTTTTCCATTTTTCTTTTGATCTGACCCAATATATAACTCAAAATTTAAAAGGTCAAAATAATATTTTTAAGAACTGATCATGTAGCTGGGCATGGTGACCAGCACTCGGGAGGAAGAGGCAGGTGAATCTCTGTGCATTTGAGGTCAGCCTGGTCTACATAGTGAGTTCCAGGCCAGCTGGGCTATGAAAAGACCAAAAAAAAAAAAAACTGGTCATGTATGAACAGTACAGCATGACATTACATACTTACTCTGTTTTACAATTTCAGACAGGAGAGGTACGACATATTTCTCATCTGAATTTCACTGCCTGGCCAGACCACGATACACCCTCCCAGCCAGATGACCTGCTCACTTTCATCTCTTACCTAAGACACGTCCATAGGTCAGGCCCAGTCATCACACACTGCAGTGCTGGCATTGGACGTTCAGGGACCCTGATATGCATAGATGTGGTCCTAGGGTTGATCAGCCAAGATCTTGAGGTAAGTGCAAGATACTGTTTAATCTACTGCTTAATAATATGGTTTCTTTAATGGTATAATCCAAAGCTCCATAGATGCTGTTGCATTTTACCCTTTACAGACTGTAAATTCTCTATAAGATAAAGTAAATATTGTTACCACATTTTGGGGGAAATATTAAAGTCCAAAAGAAAAAAAATTTTAATATTTATTTTTATTTTATGTGTATTGCCTGCATGTATGTAAGTACACTCATGTTGTGAGGGCAGAAGAGGGTGTTGGATCCCCTGGAACTGAAATTATACACAGTTGGTAGCTGCCTGTGGGTGCTGAGATTCAAACTCGGGTCTTCTGCAAGAACAGCCAGTACTCTTAACCTCTAAGCCATCTCCCCAGCCCTGAAAAAATATTCTTAAAAAAAAAAAATCTCACACTCTGTTCTTGTTTTTGTTACCTATGGTGAGAAATGAATATTTTGTTAAAAGAATTAATACCTGTGTATCTGTCTAAACAATTACTCCTAATTTTTAAAAATTACTAAATAAATCAAGTAAATAACAGTATAATCTTTCTTTGACTCTAAATTAGTATAAAAACTACTGAATGGCAAAATATCTTACATTTAATAACATATAATACATAGTTAAGATCACTGTCTCTTAAAGGATTTTAGATAAAGTATATCTGCCTTGTACTTGATGCTCTTCTATCTACTATAATAATGTAAGTAGGACAAAACAGTCTAATTTGCCCTTGTTTCAGATAATTGAATTTCCACTAAATTTAAAAGATTTAGAATTTTATTCCAAACAGTAGTGTGTGAGGAATATAGCTAAAACTGCTTTTTATAATTTAATATATTATTTAAATTTCAAAGGAAAAGAAATCTGTTGAATATCTTGAGAGAATAGCCTCTAATTCCTAGAAACATCATAAATAAGAATACAGACGATGGAAAAGTCAGCTCATAGTCATCATGTCCAAGGCCATGAGAGGGAGGAGGGCGTGCAGAGTCTGCAGAAGCCACCTATGCTTCCTCCTGATTTGTATCTAATGCACTGTTCTGTGTCCTGACAGTTCGACATCTCTGATTTAGTGCGCTGTATGAGACTACAGCGGCATGGCATGGTTCAGACAGAGGTGAGTCTGCATACTCTAATGAGGATTTCTTTAAAGACTCTAATATTTCATTTATTTATTTTTATTTTTATGTGTAGGAGTGTTTTCCCTGCTTGTATATAAGTACACCATGTGTATGCAATGCCTATGAAGGCCAAAAGAAGGTGTCAGATCCCCTGGAACTGGAATTACAGATGGTTGTTAGCCACCATGTGGGTGCTGGGAACTGAACCTGGGTCCTCTGCAAGAGCAGCCGTTGCTCTTAACTGCTGAGCCGTCTCTCTAGCCCAGGACTTCAGTATTTTTTAAGTTTCTCTTGAGCCTTTTCTTTTTTATTTTTCTTCTTGAGATGATTTCACTGTGTTGCCCAGCTGAGCTAGAACTCTGGGACTCAAGCAATCCTCTTGCCTCGGTCTCCCAGTGGCTGGAACATCAAGGCATCAGCACACCACTGTGCCCAGCTTACATTAAGTTTCCACATTAAGGCATAAAATCCAACATTTTTTGTCAAAAAGGACATTTTTTTAGCATGAGGACGAATTCAGGGAAAATTTAAATATTTTAGGCTATCTTTTTAAAAATATTACCTCTTAATTTTTTAAAAGATGAAGAAGTGGAGCTGGGAGATAGCTCCATCAGTAGTACTTACAACAGCATAAGGTCCTGAGCGTGACCCTCAGTGCCCACATAAAAATCCAGGTTTGTAACCCCAGCACTGAGAAGGTGGAGTCAGGCAGATCCCAGGGCTCTCTGGCCAGCCAGCCTTGCTGAATCCATGAGTTCCAAGCCAGTAACAGACTTTGCCTCAAAAATAAGGTATATGATACCTGACAATAACATCTGAGATTTTGTTTGACTGCCATACACATGTAAATATGCACACCCATATATAATATACATACATACATATGCACTCATATGTACACACATGCACACACATACAAAAAGAAGCGCATTGTCTTTACTCAGTCACAGAATGGACAACATGTTGGAGGCACAGAGTTGAAACAGTGCTGAATACTGTTATTACTGGCATGCTTCCACTCTCCAACTTTTACAGACACAGAAGTAGCACTCTTGCTACTGGAGCTCCTCGGGGGCATGGAGAGGCCACAGCAGCTGGATGCAGAGGCCAAGAGAGCTCTGTGGGGAGCAGCCAGGCAGCTCCCTCAGGTGTCATGCTCATTTTCTCCCCTGAAACGGAACATGTAGTCTATACCCACTGATTCCCTCTGCTCTCTTTTTCCTTTATTTTGGGAAGGTGTGGTGGATCAGAATTGTCTCCATATGTCCACACAGTTGCATTTATACAGGAGTTACCATCCAGAACTTGCCTGATTTTCCATCATGTACAGTTTTGATTCAAATTAAGCCCCTTAATTATAGCCATGCTGTTTAGATAAGGAAGACGTGTTGGTCTGTATGAGCAGTGTACATTCACTCCTGTGTTCATTCAAGAGATACTGAGCCAAGTGTGGTGGTACACACCTTTAATCCTAGCACTTGGGAGGCAGAGGTAGGCAGATCTCTGTGAGATCAAGTCCAGCCTGCTCTGCATAATGAGTTCCAGGCCATAAGACTTTGAGAGTGAGAGAGACAGAGAGACAGAAACAGAAAGAGCGATCCCGAGCACCTTCTGTGTACCAGGTGCTTTCCAGGTGCCTGGGTACTCAGTATTCAGCAGGGTAGTGGTGAGTACAGCTGACTGTCCCATGCTGAGTGTGTGCAGTGCATCATGCGGGAGCACTGAACATGGGAAGTGCTTTAGAGAAGAGTGGGTGAACGGTCAGCCATGGCAGTGTGGGGGCACAATTTTAAACAGAGTGGCACTTAAGAAAGTAATGTGTTCTTCCGTTGTGTGCCCGAGCTCTCCATGTGCAGATGTGCAGCTCCAAACCCATGGTCACACAGATGGCCTGGTTAAACTAGTAGATCATAGAAGAAAGACATGAATGAAGGAAAGGGCCTTGTAGGGAAGAGGAAGGGGAGCAGGGTGAGAGGGAAATGAAGAATAATCAGAATACATTACATACATGTAGGAACTTGTCAAAGAACAAATTTAATAAAATATTTTTTTAAGAAAGGAAAGAAAGTGACACATAAGCAAAGATCTATCTGGGGAGCTCTCAGGCATGGAAGGAGAGTGGGGTGGTGGGAGCATGGAGTTGAGCTGGGCAGAGGTGAGGCCAGAGGGAGGTGACAGGGCCAGGGCTGGCACTCTGTTCAGAGCGAGGGGCAAGCTGGAGTGTTCTCATGCTCATGAGGCCTGTGGCCTGAATGACATGATTGAGTATATTTTAAAGGATGGCTCTGGCACTGCATTAGAACACAGCTGATCTGGGAAGGAACATGCAGGGCTAGAAGCACAGACTCCGTACACAGTACGTAGGGTGATTCACTACAGAGCAGTGGCTACAGGCAGAAAGAGGACTTCGGTAAGCAGGTTTGCTAACATGTGGTGATGAGAGGAGTACTCAGGAACAAGCATGGGAAACATAGAAAAACTAAAGTACAGGTGAGCAAAATTAAAAGGCAGCCTGCATCACCATTCTCAGAAAGCCCTTGACATTTTCGGTGTGCACACACATTCTTGCTCATGTGCAATGGTTGTAACTGAGATCCAACCCTGGTCCTTCTTTTACTCTGTATTTAGTACACTGTGGTTCCTGAAAACTTTTTATTTCTATGTGTCTGTGTGTCTGTATGTCTGTGTGTATGTGTGTCTGTGTGCATGTGTGTCTGTGTATGTGTGTTTGTATGTCTGTGTGTATGTGTGTCTGTGTGTATGTGCACATGCATGAGGGTGCCTGTGAATTCTGGAAGAGGAGGTCGGATCCCCTGGAGCTGGAGTTCAAGTGGTTGTGAGCTGCCCAGCATGGACACTGGAAACCGAGTTCAGGTCCTCTGAAAAAGCAGCAAGCACTCTTACCCAGTGAGCCGTCTGTCTGGCCCCATTGTGATTTCTTTCTATTTCAGACTCATAAATTCCTTGTCAAATAATAAAAAATATCAGACCCTAAATGCCATCAACTTAGACAGCAGTTTTGCCCCAATGACTCATTTTCAACACTCACTAATTTCTGTATTCTTTTGATCCAAAACTGTGAAAGAAAAATTACTTCATATTTAAAAGATATTTTATTTATTATTTTTATTTTATGTGTATGAGTGTATTGCTTGTATGTATGTGAGTGCACCAGTGTCTTACAGTGCCATGGAGGTCAGAAGAGGGCTTCAGATTCCCTTGGAACTGGAGTTAAGGTCAGTTCATAGCCGCCATGTGGGTGCTGGGAATTGAACCTGGGTCCTCTGCAAGAGCAGTCAGTGCTCTTAACTGCTGAGCCATCTCTCCAGCTCATATTTAAATATTAACTGTATTTCAATTTTTTATTGTTTGTGTGTGTGTGTGTATTTCATACAGAACATCCCAAACAATCTTCCTTATACCCGCATCCCAAATGGCACCCTACCATAGCCACCCTCCCCCCACACACACCCCTGGCGCCCATATACTCTGTCATCCCTGTTACTATCCACTGTGTCAGTGCCCCCAGCCATATTTTGTGCTGAAATATTTGAAGAAATTGATTTAATAGCTTCTTCGCTATTAATTTTTTCACATTTTAAAACAAGATGGTGAGTTCAATAAATCTAGAAGAGATTTTTAGGAGTTGGGGATGTAGCTCAGTGATACAGTGCCCTGAATTCAGTCAGTAGCACCTAAACAAAGAGCCAGAATCAGAGAGAGAGACAGAGATGAAACAGAGACACAGATGAGAGAGATTTTACAGGAGGTTTATATACTGAGACCATTCTATACCCAACCCTTGGGCATTTTCCCTTGTGTTCTTGTCAGGTTTTTTGTGGGGTTTTGTTTTGTTTTGTTTTTTGCTTTTTATGATTTGTATGACACTGCACAGTTCTGTATCCCACCTCTTAAGTTCAGCATTTAAACAAAGGTTTTCTGTATTTCCAAATTTCTCAAAACACTCCTGTGTGTATGCTCACATTACACATTAAGACCTCTTTGTCTCTCGTCTCTCCTCTCCTCTCTCCCTTTTCCCTCTCCCTCTCCCTCTCCCTGACAGGATCAATATATTTTTTGCTATCAAGTCATCCTCTATGTCCTGACACGTCTTCAAGCCAAGGAAGAACAGAAAGATGGATCTCAGCTTCCAAAGTGATGTGTAGAGAGCAGCCCTCCAGCTTCTCTACCTCTGCTTGACTCCAGCCCACTCCTGCTCTCCACTCAAACAAGGGCAGCAAGGCCACCCCGTGCTTGTTCTTCCTCAGAGGAGGGGCGTTCTCCATAAAGATAAGGAGTGTCGACATGCTGTGTTCTCACAGCCACTTTAACCTTGATAATAAGTTTGAGAACCTTATCAAAACTCGGTTAACACTAACTGAACAAAGCGGAGCTGAAGACTCAAGGCAGCGTTTGATCATAGTGGACATTGTTACAAGGACACACTTAAATCTATTTTTAATGTACCAAATCTTGTTTATAGCAAAAAATTTTTCCAGTATTTTAATAAAGTAGAGTTATTTTATAGGGGATACTTGAAACCAGTATTTAAGCTTTAAATGACAGTAATATTGGCATAGAAAAAATGTTTACTGTATCAGTTTCTAATGTTTACCATATATAAATTTCTGTAATATATTATATACTTTTTCATGAAAATGGAATTATCAGATACTTCTTTGTAACTGCATCATCTATTTGTAATGCATCATCTCACTTTGTAAATAAAAATACATCTTAAAACAAGGCCGAGGCAAAGCAAGCATTTTCAGTGTTATTTTTTTAACAACGCCCTGTCCTTTGGGGAGCCAGAGACCTCTAGACCCCAGCTGACCATCTCCCAGTTGATCCAGTCACACCAGCCATGGGGTGAGTTGATTTCTTTCTCCCTGTCTCTGAGTGCCACACTCCCAGCCTCCTATGCCTCTCTGAGAAGTAAGCAGGGGTGTTTTAAAGTGAACAGCAGCAATACTCAGAGTACTCAGCTGACCAGCAGTAATCAAGACAACAATGGGCTTCTTGGGAGACTTATGTCTGATTTGCCAAGTAGGAAGGAAAATAGCTCATCCTGGAACAGGATGCTGAGTGATTCCCTGCTCTTGGGTACTGGGAGGAGAATATTGAATGAATCCTTGCTTTTGGGTACTAGACAGAGGTGCTGAGAAGAGGATGCGCCTCCCAGTCTGTTCTACTTCTGAGCTGGTTCTGACCTGAATTTCTGATCTTACCCAAGTGCAGTGGCTTGCTGGGTCATGTACCTGTTGAGGCTCTGACAGCAGAAGACAGCATCTATAAATACATGCAGAGCCCCTGGTGATTCCTTTGACTCCCTACAAAGTAACAGGTTTGCGTCTGCCTCAGAATGGGCTTTGCATCTGTCAAGTAAACCTCACTACAGTTTCCACCTTTCCTACTTTAATCCAAAGAATGTTTACAAGTTAAGTTGTAACCGAAGCTATCATTGGTGAGGGAGGGGGGGATGTCTGTTGCTTTAAAAGCATTTTTTAAATCCCTGTTCTGAGTTGGAACCCTGCAGCCTGGTTCCTGTCAGAGGCAGATGATGTCAGGCTATAGCACCAACACTAGCACAGCTGGGGGTGGGGCATTAGCTGCCATCTGAAGCCAGAGCAGATGGGCCGGGGCAATGCTATCAGAGAATTTCTGGAAAGAATATAGCTAGGAAATAGAAGCTGGGAAGAAGATGCAAGTTGAAGTTTCTAGCATCTTAGTGGAACATTTCCCCAGCTCCAGCCCCTGGAATGGCAGGACTACTGTGGGTTAGAGTGCTAAGTGAGGCCGCAGAGCCAGTGGGCACATAGGGGCACTGTGGTTAGAGTGCTAAGCGAAGCCACAGAGCCAGTGGGCACATAGGGGCACTCAGGTGTCAAATCAGTGACTAAAGGTAGCCCTGTATTCACTGTGTACAAGAAACATCAGCCAAAGCATGAAATAGCTCAAACAAATAGTTGATTTCTAGCTTGTGTAATAATCCCAGGCAGGCAAATAACCCAATGGGGAGCCTGCCTTCCTTTTTCTTGAAGTTTTTTAAAGTTTTTTTAATATATATTATTTTCATTTGATGTGTATAAGTAAGTGTATTGCATGCATGCATGAAAGTACACCTGTGACCTGCGGAGGTCAGAAGAAGATGTCAGATCCCCTAGAACAGCTGTTAGCTGCCAGGTGGGTGCTGGAAACCAAACCTGGGTGCCCTGTCATTTCCCTAGCTCCCTTCCTTCTCTTTTTTTGGGGGGGGGGTCTTTTTGAGACAGGGTCTTCCTGTAGCCCCCGTGGCCTGGAAATCAATATGTAGACCAGGCTGACTTTGCCTCTGCCTCCTGAGTGCTGGGACTAAAGTCGTGCACCACCATGCCTGGCTCCTTTCCTCTTTAAGAACCCAGACTAAGAGCTGTTCTGTGAACAAGCAGCTTCCCGACCACGCTCAGAACCTGCATTTCCCCAGGCAGAATGGCATAGAGGGCCACTCTGGAGTGCGGAGTGTTACAGGCACCTGGCCAGGCCTGGGCAGCAGTAAAGCACGCCACTGCCACTCACTCCATCAGGGAGAAGGGGTCAGATGACAGCCCCACTCATGGGGAAGCTGGAGAACAAGGCTGGCTGAGCAGTGTGACAACTCTGTGCTATAGAAGAAGAGGCCCAAATGATAATGGAAGATACTTAAAAATTAAACCAAAGCACATTCCAAAATACATGATAGAGAAGGTGAAACTTGTGAAGAAAGTGGAACTCTGTTGATGCAAATATAAATTAGTGCAACATTATGAGGAATTATGGTGCTTCCTCAAAAAACTGGGACTCAAATGATCTTATGATCCCAATATGGCAATCTTGGGTATCTATCTGTACACCCATGTCTACTGTGGCTCAATTCACAATAGCTAAGCTATGGAACCTACCCAGGTGCTCGCCACAGATGAATGGATAGCAAAATATAACCAAGTGATTTTCATTTAGTCATAAAGATTGAAATCCTGTCGCTAGTAGGATGATGAATGTAATTGGAGGATATCATGCTTTTTAAAAAAGCCTTAATGGCCGGGCGTGGTAGCGCAAGCCTTTAATCCCAGCAGAGGCAGTGGATCTTTGTGAATTCAAGGCCAGCCTGGTCTACATAGTAAGCTCAGGTCAGCTGGGACTACGGGGAGACCCTGTCTCAAAAAGACAAAAAAAAAAAAAAAAAAAAAAACCGAAGTAGTCCATGTTTTCTCTCATATGTGGAAATAAAAATAAATTTTAAAAACCTGAGCAAATGGTCCTGACAAGGGAGCAGGAAGGAGTCTGGAGGTCAGAGCAAGAGTGGAGGAAGATGTGTGGGTATGATTAACACTTGCTGCGCACATATATGGAAGTGCATTGTGAATTCCACTGACATACAATCAGCATGCTAATTTGAAGATGCATGGGTATGATTTAGAAATACTTCTAAATTATCATGATAAGCAAAAGAGAAGTAGTTACTGAGAAAAGGTTTGTTTTTTTACAGCTGAGGTTCCAGGTAGCCTGCCAGATTCCTTAGTTTAAAAATATTTACTAAAATACAATGTGATAAAGTCAAGAAATTCAAAAACTTAGACAGCTTTGTTCAATCATAGAGGCTTAATAGTGGAAGAAACTATTCAAGGCATCTTTTCATGATGGAGATAAATTCAACAAACTAGGCTAGCCTGCACAAAATTTTAAGATCATTAAAATTTTAATATACCAGTTTGGGTTTGTATTTGAGTGCCAGTAACCAAAAAAAAAAAAAAAAGTCAACACAAGTACATAGCCCAGCTGGCCTGGAACTCACTAAGTAGACCAGGCTCGCCTTGAGCTAACAGAGATGCGCCTGCCTCTGCCTCCCGAGTGCTGGGATTAAAGGCATGTGCCACCATGTCTGGCTCCAAATATCTTAACTAAATGAGACATTTATTATCTTAAGAAAACAAACTCAGTATATGAGAGCAATCTGGCTGCAACCTCTGTCACCCCATTGGTCACCAGGGTTGATTCAGCTGACCTAGCTGACTCAGCAGATGTCCCCTACCACCATCACCACTCCATGTGCATTCCTCCCTCTGCTGCCCATTCATTCAAAGAGGACAATCGACCTGACAGAGAATGACCAGTCTCTGTTCAAGGGTATAGAGTAGCTGCACTCTACTGTGACCTCCACACAAGCCCTTGAGAAACAAGCTCAGATATAGGCCATTGCCAGATTGTCTCTACAGCTCAAGAATCCCAACAGCTTTATAATTATCAAGGAATTGGGAGGCTTCATCAGTTCCAGCTACTTGTCCATATTCTGGAAAAACTGAATTAACAAGGGGAGAAAGGGCCAGTCAGATCCTAGAACAAGAAAGTGGGATTTCTGTGAAATCACAAACAGACGTCTGCTTCCATCTGATCAGCAAAGACTATATCCCAGGTACATCTTCAACTTCAAAAAATTTAATTTAGGCCTGGGGCTATAGCTCAGCGTAGAGCACTTACTAGCATGCATAAGGCCCTGGGCGTGCTCTTCACTACACATGGAGGCTGCATATTACAGTCTTGAGCAAAACCTTGGTTCCAAAGAAAGCAATAGACACCAAGTAGCAGTAAGCAATGTGCCTTTCTAGCTCTGCCTCAGTTTCCACACTCTTCTTTAGACAATATTATCAATCTTTTATGATCTTCCTGAACCTACAAACATCGGATTTTGTGACTATTAAAAAGGTCCACAGTTGTCCAAGCAGGCGTATTTGTCTGCGTAGGTGAAGGTGCCTCTGATCCTGCTCCTGAAACCCAGTCACAGTCACAGGGACAATGAGGAGACCCTGGGCCTTGAGTCATCATAGAGAGTTCATAGATAGCCCTGGTGGCCATCCAGGGCTACCCAGTCAAAAAGAAGAAAGAAAAAGAAAAGAAAAATAGACTAAGCAAGCATAAGCATACATCTAATCCATAGAGGTAATAGAAAAACACATGGGAAAATATTTTTAATTAATGTTTTTCGAGTTGCCCACTGCCAGGCACCACTCCCTGCATGGGAAGACATACATGCCATGGAAGTTCCCAAGACAACTTCTGAAAAGGGTCCATATACACTCTCCACAGGGATCATAGGTCGCTCATAATCCACAGAAAAGGTAAACATTCATTTTTAAACATTTTGTAAAAGACTAATAAAACAGGCTAGAGAGATGGCTCAGTGTTTAAGAACACTGGCTGTTCTTGCAGAAGGCCCAGGTTCAAATCCCAGTAACCACATGGCAGCTAACAACTGCCCGTAACTCCAGTTCCAGGGGATCCAGCAGCCTCTTCTGTCCTCCTCGGGCATTGCACGACATGAGTGCACTTACTTACATGCAGGCAATATACACATACACATAAAAATAATAAGTAAAATTTTTTTTAAGACTAATAAAACATGGGTGCACTTACCTACATGTAGGCAATACACGCATACACATAAAAAATTAAATAAATAAATAAATAATAAAATTTTTAAAAAGACTAATAAAGCTAAATATGCAGAAACAAAACTCTGCAGCAAAAGACATTATAGGAAAAAAAGCTAAGAGAGCAGATGAAATGCTGACAATGTACAGGACAGGCACACAGTGGCTTGTCACTATGCCACGTCATCAGAAAGGGAACATGAAGCAGTCAGGCACAGCGGCTTGAACTTGTGATCCAAGAACTCCAATGGCTGAGGCAGAAGGACTGTTGAAACTTCAAGGCCAACCTGTTCTACATAGAGAGTTCCAGGCTATCCTGGGCTACAGGGAGACTCTGTCTCAAAAAACAAAAAACAATAAAAAAAAAAAAAAAAAAAAAAACAGCAAAACACAATGGGCAAAGCAAGCAAGTCAAAGACACAAAGAATGAAATGATCATGAATATAATTTAATGAGATATTTTTACAAATTGAAATGATCAAAAATCATTTCTTAAATTGGTGAAACTGAAAACCCAAGCCCTTTCAAGACAGCTGTAAGGCACCGTCAGAAAGCAATCTGTCCAAGATTTGGGGAGGGAGGCACTGGGCCTGGCTGCTCCCGCCACAGGAAGGGAGCTACAGGAACACACACTTGAAGGCAAAGCAGTCATTCATAGCAGCTCCACACTGAAAGGTATTTAAATATCCAAAATAAAGATGGAACAAATAAATTATGGTCCTATATCACATAACACTTGTAACAGCCACTGTTCTACAGAATGAGGTAGGTCAACATAGACAAGTGCACAAAGATCATCTGAAATATGTCATTAAGCATCTTGCAAAACAGTAGACAGGAAGCAATCCTGATGCTTTTCCAATGATTGGATGTACAGAAGTAGATTTAAAGAGCTTGTGGCTCTTTCGAGAATGAAAGCACAAGGCATTCACTACTTAGATTTGCCTTTCTTTAAATTTCCTCTAAGTTGCCTTACATACATAATCAAAAAAGATAATCCCTTAAAGATAACATCACTTAAATTCATTTTAAAATGTTTATTTGTTCATTTTTAGGTTATGTTTGTGAGTATTATACCTGCATGTATGTAAGCATACCCGTGTCCTGCAATGCCCACAGAGAGAAGAGGGTGCCAGATCCCCTGGAATTAGAGTTATAGACAGTTGTTAGCCTCCACATGGGTGCTGGGATTTAAACCCAGGTCTTCTGCAAGAGCAGCCAGTGCCCTGAACCGCTGAGCCATCTCTCCAGCCCCAAATTCATTTTTTATAAGAACTGTGTATTTCTTCCCCAATACTACAAAGCACCTACTGGAAGTCAAGAAGCCACCTAGGTCTGGCCCCTGCTCTGTCTGCACAATGGTCCCTCTCGTTGAGTTAAAATCACATTGGGAGACCAGGTTCACAGGAAGAAGGCTACTTCTCACATTCACTGGCTCCCATAGGAGACAAGAACTCAAAAACATAAAGATTTAAAAACATAAGGATTCATTTGACACATAACTCTTCTTCCTCAGTCCTGCCAATGGCACTCACATCAGCTCTGCACTGTCGTTACTGGCCACTAAGGAAGATGGAGGACCAGACTCACCAGCAAGTCCCCACTATTCACATGAAGAGATGTGGTCAATTGGCTCAAGAGCCCTGTGGTGACACACTGGTTCCAACGGCTCCAGAGTTACAGCAGCTTCGTCACTCCCCTCCAAGAAAACACCGGTCTCTCTGGGTTTCTTCTCATAGTAGATGTCTGTGCGATCCAGGCGCTGCCTCCTCTGTTTGTTCTTCAGTCTCCTCTTGTATGCCTGATATGCTGGTAATGAAACCGTGTTTAAATCCACATTAGCAAACAGTCCAATTAGGGGATACTGCATACTCATCCATATTTTGAGAGAGTTGTTTGCTTTGAATTAATTTATGTGTGAAAACATGGGAAAAAGAAGTGAGGTGAAAGAAAGCTGTGGAATGAAGTGGTGTGGTGCATCAGAATGGTGCTTTCTATCTACAGTTAGGACTCATCCGTCAAGCCTCTCAGAGCTCATTCACTTAATCACACCAAACCTTGGTATATCAGGCACTTGTCTGGGTGCTAGGCTAGATCTGGTAATAAACCCAACCTGTTGCTTCTCTAAAACTTAAGCCTCAGACTAGGAGTTTATTCTAAAAGTAATATTTCCTTTATCTCACAGAAAAACTCAGACCCTCAATGTTCCTTGTATTATTGTTACTATATTAATAGTCAATATACAATAATCCATGTATGCAGTAGTTTGATTGAGAAATATCCCCCATAGGCTCATGCATTTGAACACTTGGTCCTTAGTTGGTGGCACTGTTTGGGGAGGTTATGGAACCTTAGAGGTACAGCCTTGCTGGAAGAAGGGCATTGCTAGAGGGCAGGCTTTGAAGTTTGTAGCCTCACCCCACTTCCTGCTGCCTCTGCTTCCTGTGGGGGGCTGAAGATGTGCTCAGCCAGCTTTCTGCTCTGCCTGCTGCCATGCCTTCCTTTCCATTACGGACTCTCCTTTCTGAACTACAAGCCAAAATAAACTCTTCTATAAGTTGCTTTTGATCATAGTGTTTCATCACAGCAACAGAAAAGTAATGCAGTGTTTAGCCAATTTTATCAGTAACCATTGACCTTACTCAGAGCCTATTTCAGGGCCCAAGAGCAAAATAAGTAAATGTATATGTACATGTATGTGTCTGTGTATGCATACATTTTTAAATTTTACGTTCTGTGAAATGACATAAGAATTTACTCTAAAATAATGCATATTTGGCTATACACATGGGTAGTTAGTATATGTCAGTGTATGTGTATATAAACTTTCTGTATCTAGATCTATGCTTGTATATATGTATTATTTCTTTGTATTTCAAAAATACTTTACAGCCACTTAGCACACTAAAGTAGCTTAGCATTTGAGAAACTTCAAAATTCTGTATGAGACACAACAAATAGAAACTGACATCCAGTGAATGTTATAGTTGAGGTCAATGATCACTCATGGAGCCTTTGTCCTAAGTCCCAGAATCTAGGCTCTGTTAGTGTGCTGATTTTATGAAATATATTTGTTTCTAGTTGTAAACTTTCACTCAAGTGGCTTTTAAATTTTTTTTCTGTGTAACTCCCACTGTTCAAAGTATCCTGGTTTTGTACTTTATGATCCCCAAAAGTATCCCGCTGGAAATATATCACATAGGCAGCACATATAAAGTTGGATTGAAAAAAATGTGGATAAATCAGTTAACTGGTGTGCAGTCAAGTCTACCCAGAAAAAGTTCATCCACCTGCAATAATGAGAAATCCATGCAAAAGTTGGAAGAGTCCATAGGCCAATGCGAAGTTAAACAACTGCACCAAGTGCTGTGCAGGGAAAGACAGCTGGAGCATGGTAATGCACAACTGAATGTTCTGAGCTCCGGTCTCTACGGAAATCGTCCTGCACCTGGCAATGAAAATTTTTCAAGAATTACATACTAGCAAAAAGAACCATTCATAAGTGTTCTCTTATGTGTAAAGATAAACATGAGCTATCCGCTCAGATGACTAAAAGGGTTTATTCATTCAGCAGAAGTTAACTGAGAACCTAGTCTGTAGAGCAGTCTTCTAGGGTGCCCTGAGAGGTAGGGCCTCAAGAACCATAGGAATCAGAGTGGAAGGGCGAGATTCACACACAGAAAGATTCAGTGCAAAAGGATGATGAGGGCTGTGGTGGGAGGATGCTGTAGAATTTCAGGAAAGTCACAGGAGTGGCTGGAGAGTTTTGCAGAGGGATGAGTAGAAAGGTAACTAATGTTGGGGAAATGATAGAGAGTAAGGCGCAAGTGTGCGCTCAGGTTCTTCGGGAAGGGCTTCATGTTACTGCAAGCAAGTCTGCGTGCAGAGGAGGGCTGCAGGAGATGAGAAGGGGAAACCAGGTCAGAGGTGCGCCTCAGGACAAACTGAACAGCACACAAAAACTCTAAATGAAAATCCAACATCAGAAAAACCTGCTTTTAATGAAAGAGTTTAAAGATAAATTTCGTTCATTTCCTACTTTTTTCTATATGTATTGGTTCTTCAGATTGTAAAAAAAAAAATGAAATAAATCTTACTTGAAAATGAAAAACAGGAGAGAAAAAAGAAGTAACAGGCAGGGATTTGGAGAATAGGCAGTTTCGTTTGTCCCCAATTTCTTGGGCGTCTGTAGAGATGTGAGAACTGGGTCTCAGTGTGGTGGCAGCAAGGTGGGCAGTGCGGGGGGGGCAATGCTTTTGGGGGCCGGGGGCGGTAGCAATGCTTTTAACTGGCAGGTTTTGTGATGAGCATTTTGTTTCTACCTACCCTCATGCAAACACTTTCCTCCTCCTCCCACTTCTTTCCTACACTTATCAGTAGCTTGGTGTGATTAAGTGCCAAAGCTTAATGGTCATACCTGGACCATTCACAGCACATGCAGCATCTCAGGCCTCTTCTTAGGCCATTAACTATTTGGAAGACAAGACAGCTGGCGACACCTTGCCAGAAGGATCCTTGCTTTCTCTCCAGATCCAGTTACAACTCTCCACCGCTCAGCATCTGTGTTCTTAACTAGAGACTTTGGAATCAAGCCCAGGTTCAAATCCAAACTCCACAATTTTCTAGTTCTAGGAACTTGGTTAAATCCCTTAGCTATTCTGAAGGACTCGCTCATGGGTAGAAAAAGGATGACAGTCATACCTACCTCCCAGAGTGCAATGAGAAGAAAACCGGCTAGATGGGTAGGAGCCTCCGCCAGTACTTGTGCTATGCTCAGGGTTCCTTGGTGAAATAGAAGGTCAACCCAAACTTCCAAACTCCCACATTTAAAATTCTGCCACTTTCCTTTAATAATTCTTTTCTCATTTTAAACATAAATTTGCTCACTGAAAAACTTAGAAAATATACCAAAGAACTGAAATTACCCTTAATCTCACCACTCAAAATTGCCATTTGTGTTATTTCTTCAGGTATTTTCTCATATTCCTTTTGTTTTTTTCCACAAAGTAGAAATCAAAATGAACACCACGTTATGCCCTTCCTAAAAAAGGATTTTAAAATAAAATGTAGCTCTGGGGTATTTTGCAACATCATTGAAGTTGATGCATCATATCCACCACATGGATGCTTCATGAATATACATCGCCCTATTGTTAGATATTTAAATTTTTTCCATTTTCACATTTATAAGTGGCATTGCAATTAACATTTTAGCACATCAGTATTCATGTGCATATCTGATGGACCTGTCTTTAAAGCAGATAGCTGCTGAGTGTGGTGGCCCAAACCTGTAATCCCAGCAGTCAAGAAGCTGAGGCAGGAGAATAGAAAGTTCAAGGCCATCCAGGATTACAACCTGCCTCAACCAAAATTACTGAGTTAACCACTATCGTAGTTACGCTCTGCTGGTATGATGAAAACACTGACCAAAACCAACTTGGGAAGGAATGGGTTTATTTTATCTCCCAGGGCACAGTTTACTACTGAGGAAAATCAGGGTGGGAACTCAGGGCAGGAACTAAAGCACAGGCCATGGAGGAATTCTGCTTACTGGCTTGCTCCTCTGGCCTGCACTAAGTCTGCTTTCTTATACAACAGAGAACCACCTGCCTGGGGTGGCACCACCCACAGTGGGATGGGCCCTCCCACATCACTCAACATTCGAGAAAATGCCCCCACAGACATGGCCACAGGCCAATCCAATGAAGAAAATTCCTCAACTGCAGGTCCCTCTTCCCAGGGATGCCAAGTTGACAACTGAAGCTGTCCAGCACAGCACCATAAACATCTATAAGACTGTGCATATGACATTAAACTGCGTTTCAGAAAACCTGTGCCCACTGTTGTTATTGTTCCTCCTCATTATTGTATAACACTCACCTTCTTACATGCATGCCAACATTGAGCACTATCATTTTTAATATTCTACAGTATTTATAAAGTAGTATACCCCAATTTGAATATTTCAGACAAACTCCTGTATTTTGCATAAGTAGTAAATCTTTTTTATTTTTTTTATTTATTATTTTTATTTTATGTGTATGTGTGTATTGTCTGCATGTAGGTAAGTGCACCCCTGTCATGCAATGCCCACAGAGGACAGAAGAGGCCGTCAGCTCCCCTGGAACTGGAGTTATGGAGAGTTATTAGCTGCCATGTGGGTGCTGAGATTCAAACCCAGGTCATCTGCAAGAACAGCCAGTGTTCTTAACTACTGAGCCATCTCTCCAGCCCCATAAGTAGTCATTCTTAAAAATTTGGCACAACCAGAAGGCAATATGCAGATGGCTGGAGGAGAACTGTCTCCTATAATTCTGCTCAACAACAGACCCCAAGTGCTGCACTATCAACATGTCATACAAGATGCTCATGCTGGTGCAATAATGGAGCGTCTAGTGTATGTACAACCAGCAAATTTTCAATTAGATATAATGCCTGTTCCTAGGGGTGAAACACACATCTGGTACGATAGACCAAGCCAACCCCCAGCGGTAGGGGAGGAGATAGGCCCCAGTGGGGAAGCCGCTGCAATTGTTTTGTTAAATGGATGTGATGTACCTGCTAAAACACCATCCAAGCATTTGCATTTACACCCATAGGTTAAGTTATTATAGCAGCCACTGTTTAGATGTTCTTTCTTCTTTCTGTTGCTATTTTTATAGTAGATGGAATCCCACTGAAATGGGCCAATAGCCCATGGAACACAGTTGATGCAGAGACCCAAAAGTTCAGTGCCTTGCCACAGTGGGAGGAAGAGCACCCCACACCTACCATCCCCTCCAAAGCTCAGGGACTTTTGCTGAAGATGTTGGCAGGAAGAATGTAACAGCCAGAGGAAGGGGTGGAGTGCTAACTGGAAATGTCCTCCAATCACTATGCTGGCAAGTTATAGTCACACCTCCTTCCCATGCTTGTCAAAGAGTCGAGGGGGAGTCAGTTACCCTTCCCATTCCAACCAGTGGACCTTAGGTGCATGTGGGGGAGGGGCTGAGGATATATAAGCTAAGAACACAATGAGGCACCTCTCTCGCCATTTTGTGCACTGTCGGGAAGTCATAGGACTTTTTTTTTTTTTTGAGTGTGGACTTTCCAGCACAGCCATAAATGGGAGGGGGCACTCTTCTGTAAATAAACCCCCACTTTATGCTCTGTTAGCAAGCCTAATAAACTCATTAGGGTTTTCCAAAAAAAAAAAAGACAAAGCTAATGGAAACCTTCATTATTCCACCAAAGTTGACCCCATGTTAGCAATCCTTTGGTCTTTGATTTCTTACTATTTTCCCCACCTTAAACTTCATTGTATATATATTGTTACATAACCTGTTTCAAGATACTTCTGGGAAAATGTGTTAAAAATTGCCTGTCTTTGAAATAATAAAAGTATTATAATTTTTTTTAATTGGCATAATGAATAGGAACTTAATATCTCTCTCTCTCTCTCTTTATTTTTTTATTTTTTTGTCTTTTTGAGAGAGGGTCTCCCTGTAGCCCCAGCTGGCCTGGAACTTACTTTGCAGACCAGGCTGGCCTCAAACTCACAGAGGTCTGCCTGCCTGTGCCTCCCGAGTGCTGGGATTAAAGGCATGCCCTGCAAGAACTTAATCTCTTAGAATTTGTCATGCCTACCACTCCTCCTAATGATCCTTAGAATTCAGATACCACCTTTCGGTCAGTTTTATGGTTGAGACAGGGTCTTGCTATGGAGTCCTGGCTGGACTTGAATTGTCCATTACTGGAATATAAAGAGAAATGCATCCAGAGATCAACAAGTGACACTAAAACCCTAATCTTAAATTCTCAAATTATAACTCCCATCATTGTGAAACTGGCAGTAGCCTACACAAAGAATTAGTAGGATCCCTTCACATTCTTTCTGTCATTTCCTGTACCAACCACCATGTATGAAGAAACCCTTCCTGTCTCCTAAAATCAAAACCTGCCAGTGCCAGTGTGCTCAGTGCACTTTCCTTAAAAAAGCATTTGGGAGCTGGGGATGTAGCAAAGAGGTAGCGTTTGGGTCTAGCATACACAAGTCCAAATTTTAGCCCCAGCATCTCTCCCCAACACACAGCTTATAGATAACGAGATAATGTAACTGTACCTTTGCCAGGATTGGTGGGTGAGCAATGCCAGTAGGAAGCCTGTAACATGGCCCACCAAAGGGAAGATGAAGCTGATGATCAGAAGAGTGATATCTAAATCCCATCCCTTTGCCAGCACCATACCAGTGACTGCAACCACCAGAAGGAGGATCCCACCAGCAACGGCCCCAATCTAAAGCAAAGCAACAAAATAAGTACACAGAAACATCATGGGTACGCTCCTCAGTAATGCAAAGTTCCTCAAAGCTGCAAAAGGTTTAAAAATTAGAAGTTCTAGAGGAAGGAACTCAGAAACTGTTACATTAAAGTAGCCTTCCCTTAGCCACGAAGGAAGTGTTTCATGATTCACAGTGAATGCCTAAAATCAGACATAGTACTGGATCCTGTACATCCAATCTTCTTCCTGTATATGCATACCTATGATGGAGTAGATTATCAACTAACGGGAAAAGAACAAATAAGTTGTCTCTGATCAGGACCAGTGTGTAATGAAACAAAAAAATATGTAATCACAGTACATAGTAAATAATATAAACAATGGAAAGAGGTATCCAGGGCAGTCTAGACTGGGCAGTATAGGTGCTGTCCTAGTTTTCTTTCCATTGCTGTAATAAAACACACTGGCCAAAAGCAACTTAAAGGAGGAAAGGGATTATTTGGCTTTCACTTCCAGGTCTCAGTCCATCATTGAGAGAAGTCAGGACAAGAACTTGAGGCAGGAACCATGGAGGACAGACCTTTATTTGCTGGCTTCCTCAGGTTTGTGTTGAGCTAACTTTCTATATGGCCTAAGGCCATCAGCCTAAGAATGGTGCCACCCACCATGGGCTGGACCCTCCTACATCAATTAATAATCAAGCCAGTCCCTCTCAAAGACATGCCTACAGGCCAGTCTGATCTAGAGTACTCCTCAATCGAGGCTTCCTCTCAGAGAACTCTATGTTGCATCAAGTACACAATTAAAGCTAATTAGGACAGGTGCTAAAAACAATGACTGTTCTAACATCTAGAAAGACCCTAATGAACTAGAGGTAGGGATAATGGCTTCTCAGGTGTCTTTAGACCCTTAGCCATGTGTCACATCATCACAGCATATGCAGTTTGGAAGTGATGAACAAAGTGTCGTTTTGTGTCCCAGACCAAACAGTGCAAGATTTCATCACACTTCATACAATATGCTCAGTTTTAAATACATGAAGTGTTTATTTCTGGAATTTTCCATCTAATATATTTGTACCATAGTTGACCTCAGATACTCAGATACCTGAACCCAGAGAAAGCAAGAGTGAAGAAAGGAACTGCTACATAGAGGAAAACCGTCAGCTCCTGAACAGCCAAGAGGTTCAGCTAAGTTAGAAATTGAGAAACTGGACACAAATGTTAAGTCTTCTTATTTAATGATCAATATATTTCCCTTTCAAGCAGAGAATCTAGCCACAAGGACTTGGTTTTTGTAGATGTTACACAATGTAAAATAAGTGAACTTTTGCAGTATGCATCTGTCTTAGTCCATTTTCTAATGTTTTTACAAAATACCTAAGCCTGGATGTTTTATAAAGAAAATGAGTTCAGGGGCTGGAGAGATGGCTCAGTGGTTAAGAACACTAGCTGTTCTTGCAGAAGACCCAGGTTCAAATCCAAGCACCCACATGGCACCTAACAACTGTCCGTAACTCCAATTCCAGGGGATCTGACAGCCTCTTCTGTCCTCCATGGACACTGCATGACACGGGTGCACTTACCTACAAGCAGGCAGTTCAGACATGCACATAAAAATAATAAATAAAATATGTTTTCAAAAAAAGAAAAGGAGTTCATTCCACTCAAGTTCTAGAGATTCAGGAGCATGGCAATGGCCTCTGCTTGGTGCAGGAGGATCTCGTGACAGATAGCTTCACAGTGGTGTGGGCATATGCCAGAGCAGAAAACAGCACACACAGAAGGGAGGTACCAGGCTCCCTTATGATAACCCATTCTCACAAGGACTCATCCAGTCCTTCAAGACCTGCACTAGTACCTCTTGTGACTAACTACTTCCATCTCTTCAAGATTCTACCTCCTCCTCCTCATCACCCAGCTAGAGACCAAGCCTGTCTCAGAAGGGCAAACCACAGCAGCACCCAGTACCCTTCCATATTCCTAAGTCTCTTTTCCAGTAACTTATTATCCATAGTCTGTCCTGCCTGACAATCTGCCTGACCATCACCCTCTGAGCTACCAATAACTTCCTACTATTTAGAACACTGCTTCTGTCTACCAAACATAACAACCATTTGCAATAGACAATCTGAGTCAATAATACAATATAATACATAATTAATATAATAAGAGTTAATAATTTGGAAAGCTCTCATTCATCTCAAGTGGACAGCACACTGTCTCCCTAGTTACATTAGTCTTGATTTGAAATGATTCCGGATGTGAAGGAGCTCATGGAGAACTAAAGAAAGTAAAGACAAATTATTATGGTTTGAATATGAACGAAATGCTCCCCTCCCTACAAGCTCATGTGTTAAAGCTTAGGTAGCCAGTTGATAGCATTATTTTGGAAGGTTCTGGAAACTTTCAGAGTTGAAGCCTAGCTAAAGGAAGTGGGTCACTGGGGATGGATCCTTGGGAATATTTTGTCCCCAACCTTTCCTGCCTCCCTCTCTGCTTCTTGTCTGCCAGAAAATGAGCATCTCTACTCCATAACACATGCCTGCCTCCATGATGCTCTGACTTAAACAGGCCCAGCAACACCAAGCTGCATGAACCTGAACTGAACTCTATGCAACTGTGAGCCATCAGAAACCTTGCTCTTTTTAAATCGTTTAGGTCAAACATTCTGTCACAGTGATGCAGAAGTAACTACGATACAGATAAAACAACTAATGAATCATAGATGTGCCTCAGGGTAAGTTTAAATACAGGGACACACCAGACAGCAAGACCATGAGTTTGAGGCCAGCCTGTACTACATAGTGAGACCCTGTCTCTAAATAAAGTATACATGTGTATATATTATAATAATAACTAAATAAATATACATATATATAATATGCACACACATAGACATATACTAAAATAATTAAATCATGCACTCTAGTTTATGCATATTATTCAATAGATTTTAGCATAAATGCGATAGAATTTGTTAAAAATATTTTTGGGAGGAGAGGGAAGGTGATAAGGTCTTGTGTAGCCCAGGCTGGGCTTGAACTTGCTATGTAGCCAAGATGATCTTGAACTGATCCTCCTGCTCCACTTCCCAAGTTTTGGGATTATAAGAGAGCACCACCATCCCTGGCTCAAGAAAGGAGTTGCAAATCTACCCTTTTTTGTAAGATTTATTTAGTTATTATTTTGGGGTGGGTCTTTTTTGAGACTAGATCTCCCTGTAGCCCCAGATGGCCTGGAGCTCACTATGTAGACCAGGCTGGCCTTAAATTCACAGAGATCTGCCTGCCTCTGCTCCCAAGTGCTGGGATGAAAGGCATATGCCACTACGTCCAGTAAGATTTATTTATTTTTATGTTTTATATATATATATATGAGTGTTTTGCATACATGCATGTATGTGTGCCACATGTGTGATAAGTGCCTACAGAGGCCAGAAGAGGGCAGTGGATCACCTGGAACTGGAGTTACAGATAGTTGTGAGCTGCCATGTGGGTGATGAGAACTGAACCCAGGTCCTCTGGAAGAGCAGCCAGTGCTCTTAACTGCTGAGCCATCTCTCTAGCCCCTTAAGCATTTTATTTACAGATTTAAAAAATAAAATGACCTACAGAACATCTGTCTGGAAGAGGGAACAAAAAGATTGTAAGAGCCAGAGGTCAGGGAAGCCTGGATAAAAACTGTGTCTTCTGGAAATGACAGGACCACTGCATTCATGAACTCACAGCAGCTGTGGCTGCCTGCACCAGACCCGCATAAGATCAAGCCAGTCAACATATCCAGTTGGGGGGGCGGGAGGGGATGGGGGACGATGGGGGACGACGATGGACTGACTCAGGAGGAACTCCACTACCTGAGGAGCTATGGACAGTTGATGGCTTCTAGGGGAGGGAGAATCGGTTTTCTTGAATGGTGCGGCCCCTGGTAAGTGAGCCATGAGCCATGTTCAGAGGATGGCCCTATACTCATGAGTAGATGGGCACTACAAATTGGACCTGTGAGTTATAAATTAAAAAATAAAGAAGACAAGAATTTGTGAGGGGGTAGAGAGATGAGGGGTATATCTGAGACAAGTTAGAGGAAGAGTGGGATATGAATGTGATCAAAATACATGTATAAAATTCTCAAATAATTAATAAAAATAATATACAAAAAAATGTGAAAAGAATTTTGCCTGATTTCTCCATTGACACTGATGGAATAACAAGGCACAGAAAGACTTGAATTGGGGTTTTTATTGCTGTTGTCATTTAATGCCCTTTCAAAAATAATTAAAGACAGAGCACATGTAAAGAAAGTTCTCATAATCCCACTCTCCTCCTGTTTTGTAAGCACTACCCTCTAGAAATGTTCTCCTTGAACAAAGGTATGGGAAGGAAGGGGCTGTAGTCCAAGAGGACACAGCCCAGAAGGACTTTCAAGGACTGCTCAGTGTACGTGTACAGCATGTAAGCCCTTCTCCTGTTGCCTGTCCTCTCTCGCTCTTGTTGAAAGAACTGGGAATGCAGCCATGGGGAGCCAGAGAGCGAGCTTATATTACATCAAACCACGAACCCAGCAAATCAACAGACATCTGCTGAACCTCCAATTAATCCCCAAATGGTATTTCTTTAGAAATGTAAGATACGACTGAAATGTCCTTTTCAATTTGATGAAGCATCACGTGTTACATTCTTATGTCTTCTAAGTGATGCTTAAGTGGAAAAATGGAAAATGACCAGGAGGTTGACTTCATTATGTCTCCCCTTTCATTAGGAATTTTAAAGCCAATTAGCAAGGACAATTATTTGTTTCTCAAGCAGACAAAAGACAGCACGGCAAAGCCAAGGGAAGGTAGGATGCTCTGGTTTCCATCACTCCATGTCCAAACTCCTCGGAGCTTAGTGGGTGATTTCATGAGGTCAGCAGCACTTGCTCATGTATAGAAACTACATCTTTAGTGATGGCAGGAATGCTTTGGCAACACAACCTTCCATTCTACTCTCCCAAGACCAACCTGAGGCCCTGCACACTGAGACTCCATTGTTCACACTTGAGGGAGGAGCTTCATCCCACAGGTGCCTGTGTGAACCTTGGTGGAAGGACAGGTCCTGGCAATCTCTGCCCACACTCAGGCCTTAGTGTTTTTGTCACTAAGAGCATCATGTTTTCCAAGGTGTCACAAACCTCTGTATGGGCCAATGGGAGTGACAGAGCAGGGCTCCCAACCACAAGACATGGAAGGGAAACCACAGGGGTGGGCTTTCCTGGGGCAGCTCATTGGTTCTCAATGAGCACCGACCCCCCGCCTTTACGTCTCTGTGTCTGAGGATGTGCTGTGTTGTGGGGTTGCTGACCTTGAGAATGATTTTCGATTGTTTTGGCCACCTGTAATTCACACAGATACCAAAGGCCACTGGAACGATGAGTGACACAAGGGTAATTCCTAAAGAGAAAGAAAATCCATCAGATAGTGTCCTTCTTCCCCTAACTCCCAAGTCCTTCCCGGTAATTTCTATTTCAATTAAAGAGCATCTTTAATGGAAGCTGAACTTTATTTCTGAATCCATCTCCCCATCTCCAAAAGTTTTTTTGTTTTTTTTTTAAGACAATTTTTGATGAGCTTATGATACTGACAAATGCCACCACACCTGGGCTGCCATTTTTCTCTGAATCATCTAACAATCAATTACATGGGAAATGAAATGATTAGAAAGGAGGATGATCATTCTAAGCCTGTGAAATTCTTTGGTCCCTAAGGATGGATGTTGCCTGTCTATCACTATAGCTATTATTTCCCTATTTGAGGTCATCGACTTCACAAAGTAAAAAGTGTTTATAAAAATAGCATTTGTCACTTTACCAAAGCAATTGCTCAGATGCTCCAAATGCAGTCAGGCAACCCAAAAAGTGTTGAAAAATGCCTTTGGCCAGATGAATACAGACATTGAGGGCAGGCTGGTTAAAGCAGTGTAGCTCTCCATGTGGCAATAGGACCCAGGCTGCTGTTTCCTAGAGAGATCTGATACTACTTGTAATCCTGGTTCCCAAGCCCTATGAGTTCCTCATGAGAAGTGGGTTTTTCATTGTCTAGCGCCCTTTAGAACATGCCATAAAAAATAATGTATTGAATAACTTAATGATCAGAGAAGATTGCACATAAAACTATGGTTTCTAAATGAAGATTCTACTCTAGATTTTCAAATGTGATAGGCTACAGTTGTTACCAGGGGTCACCTCTGTCCCAGGCCTTGAACTGTAGGCCATGATTGGCAGCCTCAACATGCTAACTTGAGACTCCAAGACTGACTCCAAAATTTTAAGAATCATAGTTTCTGTTTCCTCTTCAAAGACACGGACCAGGCTAGAACAGGCAGACTGTTCAACCAAATTTCTCTTCCAAGTGAAATTTCCAAGCCTGGTATGTCTGCAGAGACTTTCAGGAGAGATCATGAAAGAGAGAGATGGGCACCACTGTGACATGGAGATTAGCTTTACTGCTCAGTAGGAAGCCTTTACTATCAATATGTAAGAAAAAGTGAAAGCTCACAGGCAATATGAAAGGTGAAATTGTAAGAAGGAGTAATTGGAGCTGTTAGGTCGAGGGGAATTTTGAATCATAAACATGCTCTCTAACTTCCTGATCAAGATGTGTCTACTTTCTCTTCTACATGTGTTCTGACATGAGACAAACCAGCCAGGGACCAGGGCTCCCAAGAAACTGTACCATGTTGTTTGGACTTCTAGCTTCCAAAACTGAGTTAAATAAACCTCTTTTCTTCATAAATAGCCTGCCTCAGGTATTTCATTACACTGACAAAAAGCTATCTAATAATAGGGAACAAGAATTTGAGGTCATATGTGGTGGTACATACCTTTAATCCCATCACTCAGGCAGCAGAGGCAGATGGATCTCTGTGAGTTCAAGGCCAGCCTGGGCTACATGGCAACTTCCAGGCCTGCCAGGGCTACAGAGTGTGACTACGTCTCCAAAAAAGAATTCAGAATTCCTTAGTTAGAATTCCATTTCTATACTACATGATCTTGGTCAAGTCATTTAACCTGAAAATCTAGGAAGTGAAACTAGTAATAAAATTAGTACAATTAATTTAGATAATTGCCAAAACTTATGAATAAAGAGATATATAATTAACAACAACTATTATTTGTACTATCATCATTCACTGTTTCCACTCAATCTCACAAGCCCCATACAGACCTATGTTCTGATATGGAATGGTGAGATTCTGCATGAGCTTCCAGGACCAGGTGTAGAGATGAAGGCAGAGAGGCATCATTCCCAGAGCAGCCACTGTGGAGCAGGTTGTCATACTGATGCTGAAAGTAAAATTAAAATGCTTAGGGGGAGAGATGCAAACTAAGGGCGTGATCTTTACTAACTTTAAAAACTTATGATTCAGTGGTTAAGAGCACTAGATGCTCTTTCAGTGGACCTGGGTTCAGTTCCCAGCACCCACATGATGGCTTACAACTGTCTATAACTCTGGTTCCAGGAGAGCCGACTTCCTCTTCTGGCTGCTGGGCATTGCACCAATGTGGAGCACTTATGTATGCGCAGGCAAAACACTCATACACATAAAAATAAATACACAAGAATTTAGTCTTTCATCTCAGGACAGGTTTCCTGAAGAGAATGACAGGAAGTGTTGCACCTCAGATCCGGTCTTCCTGATTTACCGAAGACGTAAGCTGTTTGACTTTATAAGCTCTATTTTTAGCAAATGTGTTCTGTTGTTTTGTTGCATGATTACAATAAATGGCCAGTGTTTGGTTTGCTTTACCAAAAACAATCCCTAGGACCCACTTTCTCAGAGGGTTATATGGGTAAGCTACTTGGAGCTCATTTCTCTATTACTCAACAAATAATTTGTGAACCAGAAAAAGAATTCCAGCGGTTCTTACAATCAATCAATTAACTCATATTTCTGTGTCTACTTGTTCTAAATGTTCTGCCAAGTGTTGTAGAATTCTCTTTTATTTTCTTTATTTTTAATATTTATGTTAACTTTACGTGTATTCGTGTTTTATGTGCATGTATGTAAGTGCACCCATGTTATGAAAGGACCACAGAGGACAGAAGAGGGTGTTGGATCCATTGGAACTGAAGTTATATACAGTTGTTAAGCACCATATGGGTGCTGGGAACTGAATCATATCTTCTTCAAGAGCAGCCAGTGTTCTTAATCACTGAGTCATCTTGCTAGTCCTTCATTTATTTTCCTGTTCAGTTCTTTTTTATTTAGACATATCTCACAAAGCATAGAATTCATATTTAAAAGTGGAGAGTGCAGGGTTGAAGAGATGGCTCAATGGTTAAGAGTGCTTGCTGCTTAAAGAGGGAACTCAAGTTTGGTTCCCAATACCCACATCAGGCAGCTCATAACCACCTAGGACTCCAGCTCCAAGGGGTCTGATGCCCTCTTCTAGCCTCCATGGGCACCTACACCCACATTACAGACAGGCACACACACACACACACACACACACACACACACATACATATAAACAAAATAAGTCTTTTTAAATGTATAGTGCAGTAGGTTTAAAAAAAAAATTTAGGGACTGTGGAGATGGCTCAGCAGTTAAGAGCACTGGCTGCTCTTGCAGAGGACCCAGGTTCAGTTCCCAGCACCCAAATGTGGGCTAACAACTCTCTGTAACTCCAGTTCCAGGGAATCCAATACCCTCCTTTGACCTCTGCAGGCATTGCACAACACCGGTGCACTTATATACATGCAGGCAACACACTCATACACATAAAATAAAAATAATAAATAAAATTTTGGAACTTTTATTTTATTTTATGTGTGTTTTGCCTACATGTACATGCACCATGTCCATGCAGTGCCCATGGAGGCCCAAAGAGGGCACAGGATCCTCTAGCGCTGGAGTTATAGGTTGTTGTGATCTGCCTGCTGTGGGTGCTGGGAACAAACCAGGGTCCTCTGCAAGAGCAGCAAGTGCTCTTAATCCCTGAGCTAACTCTCCAACCCCATAACAGTGAAGTAGTTTTTAGTACAGTTACAAGATTGTGCAATAACAGTGCCAAAACTCATCACCTTAAAAAGAAACCCCACCTCCAATGCCAGTCACGCTCCACTCCCTCCTTTCTCCTATCTCCTGGGCATCATGAGTCTACCGTTGTCTTCTTAGGATTGCCCCCATGGACATTTTACACAAATAGTCTCATAGAATACATGGCATCTTGGTGAGCCTAGCTTCTCTCATTTAGCATGAAGCTTTTAAGACTTAGTACACATTTTAGGATATACCAGAACATCATTCCTTTTAAGTTCATGACTTCTATTAATATGAAGCAGTACATTGATTTTTGCAACCTGCCTTTAGGGATAAATCTCACTTGGGCATGGTACATAATCCTTTTTCATTTTTCCAAGTTAAGTCTGCTAGTGTTCTGTTGGGAAACTTTGTATACATACTTACAAGAGATTCTGATCTGTAGTTTTCTTTTTGCCGTGCCTTATTCTCACCCCAAAGGGGGTGACTAAACACCCACCCAGTGCAAAGTGTTAAATATTAAGAAGTCATCTTATGGGGCTGGAGAAATGGTTCAGCAGTTAAGCGCACAGGCTGCTTTTGTAGAGGACCCAGGTTTGGTTCCCAGAAAACACATGGTGGCTAACAAATGCCGGGAATTCCAGTTCCAGGCAATCTGACTCTCTCTTCTGGTTTTCACAGGCACTGTATGCACAAGGAGTACTTACATACATGCAGACAAAACACGCATACACTTGCAATAAAATTCTTTTTCATTTAAAAAGAAGTCATCTTGCATACAGTAAGATTCTCACTTGTTATAGTAGACACCATAGTCTCTGACCCCAGACAGAGGAAGTTGGGTAGCACAGGGCAAGGTACAGAATCATCAACAAAGAGAATCAATGAGAGTCAGTGGAGTTAAGGATTCTCCTCCAAATGGATACTGTGACCGTATGAATAGAAACAGGAACTGAGGAGAGCAATGAATTTGAGTAAGGAGTTCCCAGGCTTCACATGAATGCTGGAAAGATAAGAGCCAAGTCCCATTAATTTGAAGGGACAGGTTAAGTTAGAAGCAAGAGTTGAAAGTCCAGTGGAAGCTCCGTAGTGGGCAAAGAAAAGCTCAATATCACGATCGCCACAGATGGAACCTGGCCTCCGTGGAAAGTGAAATGTGGGAGTCAAGGAATGCAAAACAGACAGTGTCACCAGGAAAATAAGAGAAACTATCAGAAGAGAGTCACAGTCTTTGATAGATCAACTTGAAGAGACTTCTTGAAACAGACAAATTCGTTTCCCCTTCATTGTTACCAGCTGCCTCTGAGTAGAAAGGCCAACAAACTTCAAGGCCTGTGAGCTTAAGGCTTTGCAAATGCCTCATGTGTCTGCGGCAGGGGTGGAAGAACACTTCGGGTCTTCAAAGTTTATCACGATTACTGCTGTGATCTGAATGTGCACAGAAGTCTTATGTTGGGAGCATAGTCCCCAGGGCACAGAGTTGGGTCAAGATCTTTAAGATGATGCTCAGATCATGAGGGATCTGTCCTCCTGAGTAGATTATTACCATTGGAAAAGGGGTTGAGAGAAGAGTGCGTCCCTTTCTGCCCTTCCAGCTCTGCCATATGAGGATGCACCAGGAAAGCCCTGACCAGCCACTCAAGGATGATCTTGTAATTCTGGTCTTCACTGGAAAAATACTTTTTTTAATAAATTACCCAGTCTCAGCAATGGGAAACATACATACCAAGACAACTACTATGCTTTTATGATATCATAAGAACTAAGTTATTGCTTTGGGAATATGTCTACTTTTATATTTTTCAAGTACATAGTATTTAAGTCTTTGCATTTTTTTTTAATCAGAGTCTCACTATGTTGACCAAGCTGGCCCCAATTGTCTGGGCTCAAGTGATCCTCCTACCTCAGTTTCCCAAGTAGCTGTACCTACAGGTACACACACTGCACTCAGCTTGGTCTTTGAATTTTTCCTTGCAGAAAAACAATTATGTTAGCAATATTTTAAAATACTTAACTTTGGAAAATGGAATTTTTAAATGGGTAGAAGAGGAGCCCATGGTGCTTGTAGACAAAGCCAGAGAACTGGGTTGATAAAATATCATGGTATATAATATAAATATGTGTATACTATGAATATATGTAAAATTTTAACTGCCAACTAAAAATAAATTATTAAAGGCCATAGAAAACTAAGTCACATTTCAGGAACGCTAAGAGTGCTTCCAAATGATGTGTGCATGCCTACAAAAATCAGAACACAGGAAGCAGATGTAGAGTCATACACCTCCCTGCAGCAAATCCATGTGGCCCACCTCTCACCCTGACTTCTAGTTCCCAAGCTCAGGCTGTACCTTTTTTTTTTTTTCAAGACAAACTCTCACAATGCAGTCCTGGCTAAACTGGAACTTGTTATGGAGACCAGGCTGGCTCTAACTCACAGAGATCTGCCTGCCTGTGCCTCTCAAGTGCTGAGATAAAAGTATGTACCAGCTCAGCCAGTCTTTTATACCTATGTGGATGATTGAATCAATGAAATAATATGTGAATAAAATTGGGAGAAGTGAGATACATGGAAATAAGATATCCTTCACATCAATGAAGTATCTTTCCTTCTTTTTATAAAATGTATTGCATTTTTATTTATTTCATGTGCATGTGTGTGAGTGCATGTGTGCCACAGCATGTAAATGGAGGTCAGAAGATAACTTGTGGGAGTCCATTCTGTCTTTCTACCATGTTGATCCTGGAGATCAAACTCGGGTCATTTTCAGGCTGGGCTGCAGACACCTTTACTCCCTGAGCCGTCTTGCCTGCCCCGATAAAATACTTTGTTTTTCAATTTCTGGAAAAACTGCAAGCAGTTTAAGCACGTGGAACCTGTTTATAGACCTTCTTAGCTCTACCCAATGAAAGCAAATGGGACACCACACAACACGGTCCCAGAGTAAAAAGCAAGAGATTCTTTACCTTGACCCCAAGCCCAGAAAGCTTGGGGAACTTCGTAATATTCACTGTCTAGTTCTGATATCTGACCACATTGGACCCGGTAAATGTCCAATCTGTGTGTGTCACCAATGATAGATGGTCTGAGAGGTAGACCTCCTTCCTGCCCACAAAGCAGGGAAAGGACTCCCTTCATGTGTCTGGGTCTCCTCAAGCATTGTCCAGCACTTTGTTCCAAACCAAACTTTACTCACATTTCCATCCATCATCCTTTAAACCTGGGGTCAATATTTGCTTTTTCTTTGCTTGTAGTCTTGGCAAACGTGTCCACTGGACCTCAGTGATGTCAAGAACAC